AAGGCAGCATAACAGTCTAAGCTAACATAGATGGAAATCACTTTGAAAATGGAAAATTGTGACTGACATCTGAAAAAATAAAAAAAAAATCGTTGATTCTAATGAAAATCATTCATTTCGAATGAGGTCAATTTGAAAAGGCGAATACAGACAACTTAAAAATGCCATATCAAGGTGAAGATGTTTCAATATTTTAATCTCCATTCCAACCTCAGCTCTTCCAGTTATTTATGAATTTTCAGCAGAATTGATTCATGAAATTTCGAATGCTTTTTTCTGCATCCATACAAATTCATTCATAATAATGTTTTCATTGGATTTCCAAAGTGTTCATTGGAATGAATATCCGAAATGGTCTTCGTATTTTTGAAGCAACAACCTTGACTTTTCATTGAACTCATAGAAATTTGTTTTTTTTCTTTTCAATGCGCGTTGGCTCACAAATTATCTGAGCATAGAGTTAATTTGAGTACTTTCTGTGGATGTGTTTCGAATACAAAATTCGAGGGCGTACAAGACGCAAAAATAGCGGTTGATAAACAAAGCTCAACGACTGCTTATGCTAGCACAGTAATAAAGCGAGTTGTGAGTTCTCTCGTCCAAAATGGAACTTAAGTGTAATCCAGTCTATTCATATTTGTGATTGATGATTGAAATTCTATTTGCTTGTACCTACCAAAGACCCAATTTGTAAAAGTCTCAGAAAATAATTGGAAATCTGAGAATGTTTCCTATCAATTGGAGGAATTTTTGTCGCTTGATTCCCACCTATTTTTGATGCAACTATGTCAACGATAAGCAAGAGAAAAAAATGGCCGATAAATCGAGGTCAAGTCGATCACTTGTCATCACTTGTATGTACGCAATGCACCAAAATATGATGATGATGATATTGAATTGGTGCGGGTGCAGTTATCAAAGAATGCTCTCAATCAGCCATTCATTGACATAACAACGATTTGTGTGCGCGCCGTCACCTCGCTCGGCTTTGGCTCTTTTGGCTGCGATAATAATTTTTCAACTCGGCCACACAATATACATTATTTTTTATTGGATTCAAAAGTGATAAAATTCCGAGGCGATCCATCAAATACAGAGCAATGGAATACGAAAAGAATTCATTAAATATTGACTGTGGTTTTTTTATATGCCTATTTCCTTTTCATATGCGGTTTTTTTTCTCGCTACGTTCAAACCACATAAAACCCCAACCGAATGAAATCATGTTTTGTGATAACACATTTCCTTGCAAGTGTTGTGTTTGCATTTGGCTTTTGTCAATACAGAATACACACACAAACGCGGAGAAAGAGAGAGAGAGAGAGAGAGAGAGAGAGAGAGAGAGAGAGAGAGAGAGTGAAATATTACAATGTTTTTTTGTTCGGTCTGTTTAATTTTATGGATGAATTTCTATTTACGATGTTGATTGTTTAGTTTTTATCACATGCTTTGGTTCATGGTACGCCAAAAAAAGTGAAAAAAATTCGATATTCATTATTGCTGTTCAATGTTCCACTGACTGTAATCCATTTTCTCGGCTTATCGTTTGAATTATGATAACAAATGAAATGGTTTTCTTCTCATTCGTGTTTTTTTTTCTCTGAAAATAAATTATTATAATAATAAAAAAAACAACAACAACAACAACGACAACGATAACATGAATACCAGAAGCAAAAGCATCGACCACAGCACACAAACACAAAATAAATACCGAAAAAAAAGATCTATGGATAAAGGATAGAATTGATTGGACATCAAACGTTATAATATTTGAATTGTGCTTGAAATTAAAGGGAGAGAAAAAAAGCGTGTGTTTGTGTACAATTTTATGTATTCCCATATATATTAATTTTGAATTCGAATCGCATCGGTGCTGTGGCTGCCAGAATGTTAATATGTATTTTGTTCGACGGGTTTTGTCGCTTGATTTCCTTCGTTCGCTCTCTTTTGGTTGTTTTTGGTGTGCGTGCATTCATTCATTCATTCGCTCGGTGTGCATGTTGTTGTTTTTTTTCTCTTTTCCATAAATTTCAAAACTTATTTTATACTTAACGAACGACGGCATTCGTTGCCGTCGATTGAATTCAAATCACAAAAGAGAAGAAGGGTTGTTATTGCTGCTTACATTATTGATAGTATTGGAACGAACGAAATTTTATGCTGTACACTTCAGTCTGAATACCAAATGGAGGAATAGTTAATGAATTGTATTTGAAAACGAGCCAAGGCTCGCTCTCTCGCTCTCTAGTGCACAATTTGTGTGTACGCGTACACATTGAGTTATTTTGGTCGGGTACACATTTCGTACCGTTTGCTTACAAAGCAATATATACTCATTTCATTCGATGCTCTGACGATACGGGAGGTATAAATGTGATGAGAAAACGAAATATTAAAACTTAATTTTCGAATATTTGTAGTGAAAACGAGCTGCAACAACAACATCCAGCAGCAGCAGCCGTAGCAGCATTCACAGCGGCCAGGAGTTCGGGTGAGATTAACTTGAGATTCGGGGACTACGAAAATGTGTGTTCACTTAATGAGAATAAAAAGGGAATGAAACACGAGAGAGAGAGAGAGAGAAAAAAAATAAAAAAGGCACACACCAGTCAAATAAGTGTGAAAACAATATACATGCATCCAAGATAATTGACGGCTAAGAGCGGAAAACACATAAAACGTAGAAATGCTGAGTTCTTAATGACGCCTAGCCATCGATTTTCGACGTCGCTACACCACATCTCGCTGTTTCTCTGACATTTTCTCGGTTGTTCTTTTTTTTCTGTACTCTCTCTCTCTCCCTTCCTCTCACTCTATCAACCTTTGGCTTCGTTTTCGGTTGATGGTTGGTTTTTTTTTTCATCTTCTTTTCGATAAATGATTATTATCGAATGTATAGTGAATACCCGCAATCTATCTGAAATTCGATTAATTTTTGTAGCCAACAACACACTGAGGACCAAGATTGAATCGTGTATGCATGCGCGCGCGAACGCGAACAATCAACCAATTCCGCCGAGCAAATGGAATGCAATGAAGAAGCGTAGAGGCGAGATACAAAAATATGCCAATGAATTATATTGCGTTAACGAAGAAAGCAAACATTACCGATTACTTACTTTTCGGGAGAGAAATACTTTTTATCTACTTGAGAGATGTTCTGAAAACTATTAACAAGAATTCAAATCCACACCACACAAAAGCATTATAAGATAAGGCAATGGCGACAGCAACAGCAACAACAAAAACAGAAATATCATCATCTCTAGCAAAAGAAATGAGGAGGAAAAGAATAAAAACAAAAAATTATGATCGAATACGAAATAGAAAAAATAGCAGTAACCATCTCAGATGCATGCCGAGCAAAGAAAAGAGAGGAATACAAAATAAACAATAGACATGGATAAAAAAAATCTAAATGCTTTTTAAGAAACCAAAACTAAATAAAATAAAAAGCTGCTTGCATTTTAACGTTGGACTGGAGCAACGAATCGCATGGTGATTATAAATTCCCATTACTCATATTTTTGTTCACTCACGACAGCAACAACAACAGAAAAAAATAATAATGCTTTTTCGTTCGTTCGATAGGAAAAAACAATGAAGTGGAATATAATGGAAAGAACGAGTAATCTAACAATAGCTTGCCCATATATTTTTGTACGGATTCATATGCATAAGCGGTATTGAGTGAGTGCGTGTGTGTGTGTATATGAGTGTTTATATTAGGAGTACATGTGTAGCATAGACTCAACTCCAAATACGAATACACAATTTACACACACACACACTCACATTTGGCACAACGATGCAGGCAGGCATAGGCAGTGGCACAGGCACAGGCACAGAGAGGCATACTGAAACCAAACAAAGTTAATATTTATGTTTGACTAACCAGGCCGAAATGAAAAAGATGCTTAAGATATTTTCTTTTCATTTTATTTACCTTCCATGCTTATAGTCTCTCCGGCAGCGGTTTGCAGCCGTGGCCTAAGTGTGTGTCTCTCTCTCTCACACATGGTTTTGGTTAAATTTTTGAAATATGTGTTCCTGTTTCGGAATCGACTGTGTATGCGCTCTCTTGTCTCTTGCATTCATTTTCGATTTTGAGAAAAGCGAATCCCTTTTTTCGGCTTTTGTTCAACATTTTTCGATATGTATACAAATGTGTATGCACAGTTCGGTTCGGTGCCGCGCGTATCTGTTGCACACAAACCGAACCGTAAAATCTGAGCCACACATACACATACTGGCATTTTACATGTGTTTAGATGCTTTCAAGTGCTTTGCATTTGCTTTGAAATTCAGTTCAATCGCGAATGGTTCATGTTATGTGGTACCTTTCAATGTCAATTGATACAGCTTGGTACGCTCTCTTTTTTGTTCAGAACTAGATCTCGTCGCTGATTTTTTTTTATCTTCTCGTATGCCTTACAAACGACAGTATAGACATCACACATTTTCGGCACATTGGAATACCAACATATTTATTAAAATGAACAGTTTTTTTTTCATCATATTTTCCTGCTGATGAAAACATGACAGTTTTGTTCGTTTCATTTTTTTCTCTTCTGAACAAAAGACACTGAATATCGATGTGCAAATGACGAAGAGAGAGAAAGAGAAATAATCGGCGTTACTTTTCACTTATGTAAGACGAACTTTTCTTTGCGATTGTTGGCAAGAAAATAGATAGCAAAGAGGCACATTTGAAACAAGGAAAAAATAGTTGGGTTTATTGTTAAATTTTCATTCGTCGTACGGTGTTCAAATCGGCAACGAAATCTTGCAAAAGCAACTCGTTCGTATTGCGATATTTTCAATTGGGCGATAAATATATTGTAGATCATTTCCACTGTCTTTGCTACTTCTATTATCTTTATATTCATGTGCATTTGATCTATGATAATAATTGTGATTTTATTATTATTTTTCTTATCAATTCGAGTGTTGATAGCCTGTGTCTATACTTTTTGTCATTTAGGCACATTCCCAGTATTAGTTGTGTTTCAAACGAATTGGCTTGCATTTTGTTGTAATAAATTGGTTCAAGAAGTGGAAAAAAGAATTGCGTTGTTCAAAACAGATTGACAAAGAAAAATGTTTCGTTTATTTATAAGTGATTGCATTTTTGTCAACGGTAATTTTTATAATGGCGGCATTCTGGTGAATTACGATGGTAAAATCGAAGAAATTTTCAAAGATCGAGCAAAACTTGACGAATGGTTACATTCAAACGATAATTTTGAGGTAATTGAATGGCAACGCTGGCATTTTATATGAAAACTAAAGCTTTTACTTATCTCACAATTAGATCAACGATTATACAGATTTGGTACTAATGCCTGGACTAATAGATACTCATGTCCATATAAGCGAACCAGGTCGCAGTGAATTAGAAGGTTTTGAAACTGGAACGAAAGCAGCTGCCGCCGGCGGTTTCACCACAATCATCGATATGCCATTGTAAGAAAAAAGTTATTGTCTTTTGGTGAAAAAGATTAAGGAAATTTGGCGCATTTTTGAGACTGATGTGATTGCTTTTCCAAGAATCTGCACTCTTCTTCGTTTCCATACGGTCACAGGATCATCAATCATATAAAGTTGAAATGTTTATTTATATTCTTATTTTTTAATTTTTTTTAAATGCAGAAATGCGATCCCACCAACGACGACCGTTTCCAATTTAATAGAAAAACAAAAGGCAACCTCGGGTAAAATTTGCGTCGATGTTGGATTCTGGGGCGGTATTATCCCAGGCAATGCAAACGATTTGTGTTCACTGCATGAAGCAGGTGTGGTTGGATTTAAATGCTTTCTTCATCCAAGCGGAGACGAGACATTTCCGTGTGTGACGGAAGATGAAGTTGAATTGGCTTGCCAACAATTGGCCGATTCAGATGCATTGATTGCGGTATATTTGATTTAGATTCAATTGAAATACTTTGAAATTAAATGAAAACAATAATGTTTTGCAGTTTCATGCGGAAAAGTGTAATGATGATTGTGCCGTTGAAACAAATGATACTAATGATGACGATGAAGATGTTTACGAATACAATACGTATTTGAAAACTCGGCCAGCTTCTCTAGAGCTGAATGCTATTGAAATGGTGATACGCGTTGCTAAAAAATATGATAAGTAAGCATCGATAGGAGACAAATCCAAGGGGATAGATTTTATTAAACGTGTTGAATTCTTATTCATAGCATTCGAGCGCATATCGTCCATTTGTCTGCAGCCAGCGCAGTGCCGTTGATAAAAGATTTCCGAAATGCTCATGGAAATCGTTTAACAGTGGAAACTTGTCATCATTATTTGGTTCTAAATGCTGAGGATATCCCTAGATATCGTTGCGATTTCAAATGTTGCCCACCAATCCGGGATCTAGAAAATCAAACAGAACTGTGGGAAGCTATAAAAGCTGGTGATATTAATATGGTCGTTTCAGATCATTCACCGAATGTGCCAGAGAAGAAATTACTCGTGGAAGGTTCACCGGATTACGGGAATTTTGTTGAATCTTGGGGAGGTATTGCCGGTGTACAGTTCGGTATGTCAAATTAATTTTATCACATTTTTCTTATCGACTTAGGGTGAACAGAAAAAAAACTCTCTTTTATCATATCGATTATTGAAAAAGGTTTATCATTGTTCTGGACGGACTGTGGAAAATACGGCCTACATATTGAAGATATGATTCGTTTGATGTGTGAAGAACCAGCGAAGCTGTGCAAATTTGACCATCGTAAAGGAAAATTAGCAAAAGGATATGATGCGGATTTTTGTATATGGGATCCATCCGCTGAGTTTACGGTGACAGAGGAAATGATTCACTTCAAAAATAAAGCCAACCCATACATGGGACAACGATTAAGGGGTCGTGTACATGCTACAATTGTTCGTGGTCAAATTGCTTACAAACGCACCACTGCGGAAACATTCAATTTCGTTGGCAGTTTATTGAAAAAGAAAAATGCATAAAATTGTAAGCGAAATGCTGTTGAGTTCCAAAAAATGTGAATAAATGAAAAATCAGTAGAAACGACTGCAGACAAACAGCACATATTTCTATAGCAACCGCAATACTTTTAGTATTCCATTTAGTGTATGGAGAAGTGAACGGGAAAAAAATAGGTCTTGGCCAATAAATCGTTCATGTGTATCATCTTTCGATGCTCGATGCAATTTTGAGGCGTGAAGACAATTTAAAAACATATACCAAATGGTACCGCGATTCCATTTCATTGGGTCCTGTTGCTGCACACGATGACACATGAGACGGAATATTTCACATATCGTCTGCCGTTCCGATCATTTGAAAAATGCCCATTGCGCCCGAAACGAGTGCATGGAGAGAGGAAGAGCGACATAGAGAGAGAGAGAGATGCACACAGAGAACGAATGGCACCATGATGAATAGAATGAACAAGGATACACAACACACAAAATGCATTGAGATAAATGCGTTTGCTACATGTGTCGTGCATCTTTAATGCATGAAATACACTGCGACTAAATCCAAAAGGCTCCGGTATTGTATTATCGTCATCTGATATCGTCGTCGTCGTCGTCATTGTTATTTTTAATGGTCAATAAAAAAAAAGAAGAAAATAGTCATAGCAATGAATGTATATCCAAGCGTTTGTATTTCAGCTTTAGATTACATAGTGATTCGGTTTGTTCTTCTTCGTTTTCGGTTTTCTCGTTTTTTCCTCTCTTTAATTTGATTTGAGAGGGAAAAAAACTCATTTTCAGGCTCCGAAGGTTTAATCTGCTTGGCTGCTGATTAGATTAAAATGATATGCTCAATATCATATTGAAGCTTTCGATTGACGAAAGCACGCATCACCATCATCAACATCGTACACACGGAATGAAGATTTGATTTTTTTTGTTGTTGTTTGATAGTTGTATTCTTCTTTTTTTCGTTTGTTTCTATTGATGTTCTTGTTCTTCGTTTTTCATTTCGTAATTAAAACGGGATATAATAGATGAATTCGTTTAGCCAAGCATACCAGCATCTTTCGTCGTACCCCAAAATTCGTGTTCGGCTTTACATTCGAATAAAGTTTTACGGACCATTTCGATTAGATTCCTGAAATCATGATCGAGAACAGCATAACCAAAAAACCATCGAAAATAGTGTGAGGATAACAGCAGCAACGGCAACAAAATGCTGTTGTCTTTGCGTGTGCACTGTACGATAAAAACCCACACACACACACACACACATAAACGCAATCGCCTGAAATTCTTTTCTAACCGCAAAAATTAATACTGACTTGAGTTATTGTGCCTTTGGACTTAATTCTTTTTGCCTTTTTTCCAACAACATCATAAATCAAGAATGTTTTTTTCCCCTCACACCGAATAGCAAACGCTGGTCGACCGAATTAAAGGTAAAACATATTTAATGAGGAATGCGGCAAAATAACAGGAAAAAAATGAAAATTTTTCAACGAAATTTCATGCGGCCAATGAGAAATGAAAAAGAAGTATACATGTGTGCTGGCTATATTACAAGCTGTAACTCTCGGTAGTAGCTTTGAAACTTTTCCGCACCGCCGATGTACCAATTAAAGATTTAATTGTCGGATCGAATACGACTTTTTTTTTTGCGAGATTGAGAGAGAAATGATAGTTTGAGCCCATTCAGTCGAAAGTGGTCGGCTGCCGTCTTTATCATTCGAGAGAAGTAGGTAATAGATTAGTGGGTCGATTATATAATCGGCATGACGTGAAACGGCACAAATGCCGCATAAAAATCACAAACAACAAAACTGCGCGCGTGTTTTTCTCTCTCTCGCTCGTTCGCTTCTCAGTTTTATTTTATGTGTGTGTGTGTGTGTGCGTTTTTTTCCTCTTTCAAATTCGTCATTCAGAAATGTGTTGTAAATTATTCTGTTTTATGTCTTTTGTCTTTTGTCTTTTGGCTTTGTGTCTTTAGATAATTCCGATTTTTCGTAGGATGGTTGAAAAGAATGCAAAGAAAATGTAACTAAAATTAATTACTTGCTTGGTATTGACATATCACCAAGTTATCAACGGAGCAAAACATAAGCGCTTTATAAATAATACATACATACACATATGGGATGTGAATGAAAATAGTACAAATTCGCTTGGAGAAACAGAAAACGCATTACGAATTTAACATTGTTATTAACGTTGAAACGAACAAATATGTAGTCAGCACCGGCAAATAGAAGACCGGCAATTTTTTTTCTCTTTCTCTTGCCGTCTTTTTTGCGGTCCCCTTCTTAAGCCATAGCCAGAGACTGTGCGCGAGTACATCACCACCAATTATTATATTATCTCATTTAAAAACTATTATTCAAACATTCTCGATACGTTATAATTTTTGATAATACATATATAATGCGTTATTTTTACTTTCCTCGGCCGCTTTTTTTCTCTTCTCTGCCTTCATGCATAGTGGCTGCTGCTGTTATTATTATTTCGTTATTGCGCTATTGTATCTGCACGGCTTAGCAAGTCGATGAAACGATTCCGAGGTAGAGAGAAGGCAAAAGCGAACAAGGAAAATGAGAATGAATGAACGAATGAATAAAAAAAAACGCACAGCAAAAACAAAATACAGTCCAAATTAATGTGAGAATATCGTGCATATGTATTGTTATGACGAAGCATTTCCAACCAAATCGATTTCATGAGCGCTTTTTCTCTGTCTCTCTCTCTCTGTAGCACTCGCTCTCTATTCATTCGTTCGTTCTTCATTTGTTCCTCTGTGCAGAGAGTACTCGTTCGGAGTACGGCTTTTGCAACGAAGAATCAACATGATGGATGAAGAGGGAATACAAAATTCGAAAAATTTCAAACAGAATTTCACGTACATTTATATGTGCGACTTAAGCTGTGCGTTACAGAAATAAAAAATGTATAAGCCTGAACGAAGTAAATGGAATAGAAAAGAAGAAATGTTTGTGGATTTGCTATTAATGTGCAACGGCGACGACAACAGCGGTAGCGGCGACCACGACGACTTTTCGGACAGAAACGGGCCGAATGCGAACCAATTTAAGAACTAGATTCAGTTGTGTGTTTTATTGTGAAAATGAAAATTTATTGATTTATTCGGTTTCTGGCTTATTGTTGACTGATTGCCTCAGTTTCTTCTCTTTTTCCTTTTCTTCTCCTCTCTTTGTGCGTCTCTCTTGTCCATTTTTATTGATGTTCAGTCGATTACTGACTGACTATTGCCGGTAATTCGGATGATTCGTTAGAGATGGCCAAGATAAAATACATGAATGTGTTTTTCCGTCTCTCTCTCTCTCTCGCTCTCGCTCGCTCTCATTCTCTATATTTCATTTTGTTTTGTAAATTACTTCGCATCTATTTTTATTTTACATTAGACCTATTAAGTGCGAAGAATCTAAATGTTTCGGGCGGAAAACGCCAACAACAGAAAATAAAACGAAGCAATCATCAACAAAATCTCTACCTAATATGAAAATAAACGTTTCCGTATTGAAAACTCCTTGTGATTCAAGCGTTCAGTTTAACCGAATTGTTTTTTCTTCTTCTTCTTTCGTTTCGTTTCGTTCACATTTTTGGGTTTCTATTCATTTCAATGAATTCGATGGTTAAATTTCATTTTTGCATGTACATTACGTGAAAAACCGATGTAGAGATGCGGTTTAGTGTGTGTCGTGAATGTCGTGGATGCCGTGAACAAAGTCGTTGGCACACAGCAGCCTTAACTTATCTACACGGCATTTGATCGAAACACACACACAGAGTGTGAGTGCGTTGCGCTGATGAGAGAGAGAGAGAATGAGAATGAGAATGAGAATGAGATTTACGTTTTAAAACCATTAACCGATGACACATTGACAAGGACAGAATCATATTATATCAGTAATTATCATATTCGTCATTTTTATCGTCTCTTCTGTTCACATCACATCGCATCGTTTCTTCGTTGCTCGTTCTTTTTTTTCTGTTACTCTCTTCTTTCAAAAATCAGATTCGACAACAAAGTTCATTGGGGGATTACAAATATAAAAAATAGCACTCATAAATACAGGACGGGCTCACATCAACGAACGGAATCTGAGCCCGAGCATAGCAAGATGAATAGTTGTACGTTCGATCGTTGCTCTTTGTTCAGCAGAAAGTAGCAAACACACCAGCAGCACAGCCAAGCAAAATGAAGTAAAAAGGAGAAGAAGGGAACGAAAAAGTCGGGCGAACGAACAAAAACCAGAGAGGATCCGTGCTTAATGCTATAATCTCTGAATATGAACGATAATGCTGAGCTGCCGACTGTGTTTATCGCCTGAACACAAAGTCACCGTTTGATTTGGTATTTTCCTGATTAGGACGAATGTGCAACAAAATGCTCATTCGGGGAAAATCCATTGCAATTTAATAGTTCGACATACACTTTAAGCCCCCTTTTTGGAATAATATGTCGCAGCTTACGAGTTCGAACGAATCGATTGAATTGTTGTTTAAATTACTTTGAACGCACATAGTGAATACAATAAAAAATAACCAAGAACTGTAATGGTTAATTGCAGTTTCTCCCTATATCTATGACGCAGATCGAACTTTTTTTTAAATTCAAATTTGATGCGAAGCAGCACAGACCGTTTCCTGTCAAACTGATTATATTGCCGAAATAAGCTATCGTTGTGATATCCATGAATTATCGTCAATCACCAGTTTTGAATTTCAATCATGTGACTCCCCGACTTGCTCAGTTCTTATTTCGTTGCGTCGGCACATTTATGTGCACATAAGCACGAACATCGTGGCGGTCATCATCAAAGTAATGTGAAGATATTCCGTAATATGGTTGACATAAATGTACCAGTGCGAATACTTTCTGGCTATATTTTTGATTTACTTGAATATTTAGTGTGCGCATCTGGTTTTTTTTTCTCGGTTGCCACACATATTCATACCCATTTGCAAAACTGGATATGTTTTCATTAAATGAGAAATTGTAAAAAAGGTTGCTGTTTTTTTTCAGAAGAAAGTTTAAATGCGCTGAAAATAAATTAATGTGACAAAAAAAAATGACAACCAACTTAGATATGTGTAGCTGATTTTTAAGGTGATTCGATACTGAGGCAAGGTCGAGTCATTACAATTGGGCTCAAAACTATCGAAATTCGCATTTTTACGGTCTGATTTTCTCTTGTTTTTCATTGAAGTAGTTTAGAAAATTTGAATATTAAGAATCTTTAGGTTATTTTCCAATCGTTCAAGTGTTGATAACAAAATCGATATTCGTATAAATTTTATGACTGAATATATTAACCTGTGCATATTTTTTCAGTATATTTATGGGTGAGATCGAGAGTGTATGTTGTGAGTGTATGGGAGTAAATGTTTCCACCGATTTTATATTGGAAAAAAGAAGAGTATGTTTCCAAGCGGTAGGCAAATCTGAAAATAATTTGTTTATTTCAACAAATATAGGTCTATTGTCTTTTGCAAAGTTTTACAATTTGACAAATCCAAATATTTTATAAAAGAAGAAGAGTCGAAATGGTCAAAGACACGAGTCAAACATAACTTTACTTTATGAAAATAGAAGTCGTCAAAAAACATGCACTACTCTCAATCTCACCCATAGAAATGTTGAAAGTTCAATTCGTTTGAAATGCACAAAAGACGATCATTCTATGGAATTATTTTGTATTTTTGCTTTTGAAGAAGGAAAAGCCATTCCATCGATGTGACCTGGATGCTTTATTGGCTGGTGATGATTAAATTCATAGTATAATATCAAAACTTTGCTTCTAAATCGATGTCGATAACTTTTATTGAATTCACTTGTTTTTTCGATGGCGTGCTGAGAGCATAGTCAGTGACTATTAGTCACTCATCGAAAGTCTAAACATAATAATAGGTACAAAGTGCCTTAACAGAATTTGGATACCTCGAAGCTATGTTTATAGAAAATAAAACGCATAAATTAAAAATGTTGTAAATACTTGTGGCAAACGGAGTTGATGCTAATGGCAAATTCATAGGCGGTTGGCTTACGGGACAGACAATATTATCTGTTATTTTTAGGACATATCAATGTGCATAAACTTGAATTAATTCACATTTTCATTAAAAAATTGTGCAGATGTAAATGCAAAAACGATGATGGGTAAAGTGCACTACGTAGAATCGTCTCAGTCGATTGACATCATTAAATATAATGACCATACACAATTATCATTTTTAAAAATAATTTACCTAATATTCTACGTTTAAATCTTTACCTATAATACAGGGGGATTACAGATTGACAGTTGAGCTACATGATATATACTGAATGAATAGTTCTGTAGCTTGCCGTATATGATATTGTAGGACAAACTGCGGCGCTAGTGTGCTTGTGTTTCAATCTACAAACCCTCTGCTATAATAATAATGTCTCTCTCCAAAATTAGCTAGGTTTTGGTTGAATTGCCATCGAACGCTAGTAAAAATGAATTTATTTTCAAGTTGGCAATCGAACGAAAATTCCGAGATCAAAATTGGAGCAATTTTGTTGTAATCGAAAACTCAAATTCTGAATAAATGCCCGTTCTATTATATTCATATAATTGCCGATTTTGAATCTCTTGATGTAGACAGTAATGCTTGATGATTGTGTTTATCGATCCACGAATCCCAAAATGGATGGCCAAAGACATTTTTTCTAATGCCAAGAAGATTCAATGCGAATTAATAGTTTGTAGCTTCATTGAATTGCATTCGAATCCGGTGGATTTAAGCAGCAGCAGCAACTTGAGATAAACTGCTAATGGAAAAAGTGAAAAACGACCGAAATAGTTAATTACAGTTCTCTTTCTATATCAACTTGACTAACACCCAATTTATGGCTGAAACTGTGTTCGAGTGTTTTTTTTTTTTCTACTGTGAAGTGATTATTGCCGAAATGAGGCATCGATATGAAATCCATAAATTACCGTCAACAGTCAGTTTGAATTTCAATCATGTGACTCTCAACTTTGGGCTTTTATTTCGTTGGATTTCCCATGCACAGACACACGCACAAACAATTTCTGCGGTTATCATCAAAGCAAAGATATTGCGATGATATGTTCGACACAAATGTACCAGTGCTAGTACTTTCTGGCGACGTTTTTGATTTACTTGAATATTTGATGTGCGCGTCTGGTTTTTCGGTTGCCACATACAATGTGTGTATGCCCATTTACAAGACGGACCATTTATGTAAACTCTCTCAATAATGTCACCATTTGCAATGACGTCTCTTGACTATTTGAGCGAAGAAGCAGACGAAACAGCAGAGAGAGAAAGAGAATGAGAAAAAAAACATAAACGTCCAATTCCATGTATTTGCTCAGTTATGCATATGTTTTCATTCAACGAGAAATCATAAAAATGTGTTTCATTTTTTTTCTTTCTCTTCGTCTTCGTCAGAAGAAGAAAACAAAAATATGTTGAAAATAAATAATAATTTAGACCGAAAAAAAGACAAACACCCTTGATTTGAATGTGTGTTGTTTTTCTGCTCGTTTCGGTAATTCGACGCCAAAACCAAGCCAGGCCAAGTCGAGCCAATAAGCAAGCAATTGTCCAGAGTAAACGCGCGTATATTGCACATACATAGATGTATATACGAGTATAAATATATGCTGATCGTTCAGTGCCATGCCTAAACAAATAAGTTTTCTTTTTTTTCTTCGCTTTTTTTTGCTTTCTTGCTGCTTTTCGTTCGCATTTTGAGTTGTTCACATGCATATGTAGTACACATAAGTGTCGGCCTACATACATAATTTTCGACAAACGAAATAAAACAGCAACAACCCGAAAAAAAACGCTTAATCGACAGAGCATTTAAATTAAAGAAGTAGAAAAAAAAGCACTAGATATAACAACAAATTTGAAATAGCAATACACGGCAACGCACAGTGAATATGTGAAACAATGTGTTCAAAATGGTTTCTCGGCCGTAACATATTGCCACTTAACTACTACTGCTTCTAAATATTACTTTTGTGCGCTGCTCTTTGTGACTGAGCTGCACTACTCTATTTTTATTGCTGTTGCTGCTATTGCTGCTGCTGCTGCTGCTGCTGCTTGCCCGTGTGTAATATACTGGCTGGTGAAAAAAAATATATTTTGTACTTTTTGAGAATGCCGTCGCCGTTTCCGCGGAATACTTCGTTAATATGTGTCCGCATGCTTCACTTTTCTTTCATATTCCTGCGTATTTTCCGAATCCAAATGAAATACAAATAAAACATTGAAATGAATTACAACAACAGCAAAAGCAACAGCAACAGTAACAACAACAAAAATAAATGAAATGAAATAAAATTAAAATGTAAAAGAAATTTTTTTCTGTTCGTTGCGCACGATTGTGTACATCATTTAGTGAGACTCTAAACAATGCTACCATATTGTTGGAGTTTTTTTTTTATTGTCGCTCCAGTGCCAAAATATGGATGCGTGCACGAACTATCAAACTATACACTCTTGGTTTTATTTTTCGTAGTTGCTACTTCGTTGTCATTTTCGTCAAATCGGAATAAAAAGTGTTTTCTTCTTTCTTTTGTCGACTTAGTTTTTTTTTTTTCATTGTGTTTCCATAGAAAGGCATATATTTCTTTATTTTTATTACGTGAATTCTATATGCTTTCAGGAATCACATACTGTCTGTTTGCCCGTAAAAAAAGGTCTTGTGTTGTTTGGATCGGGGCCACCCTTTCCTTTATCTATGAACCTATTTTCATAGGTTTCTTTCGTTTGTTCGTCAAGCAATCAGCCGCAGAAGCAGCAGAAGCAGCAGCAGCAGCGACGGCGACGGCAACATTGTTCAAGCGACGCACATGAAATTTTCTAGCCTGTGATTATTATTATATTAGATTATAATTTGCTAGAAGTCATTTCCTATTTTTTTTTCCCTCATTCGGTTCGTGTATGTACATTTCATGGAAGAGTCATTAATGTTCGACATCCAAACATGAAAGTGAAATCGAAAACTTCGGGTCGATCGGACTGCTCTCTGCACAACATGTGTTTTTAGCCGACTTGGTCTCTCTTTCTCTCTCTTGGTGTCGGGTCGCTTTTGTGTATAACAAGCGCGTACAAATCGCGTTCAACACTCAAAACTGAAGAAAATGAAAGACGAGGAAAATAGAGGAAGAAAAAACCAAAAAATAAATTTAAATCAAGATTTTAATTTTAATTTAGTTTTCATGAGGCCTCGGTACGGCTTTGAAGGGACACGTGAACACGAAAAATCAAATGTCATCCATGAGCAACAACTGCGTTTCCTCTACTCACACTCACAGAGACAAACATTTTGTTACGTCTCGCTTCATTTTCAACGAACTCGAGCGTAAATAACGAGAAATTGGTTTTTTTCTCTCGTTTTTCAAACTAGATATTTTCAATCGACGATAAAATTCGATAGCGATGGGTTTTTGTTCATTTCGTTCATATGTAATTGGTGTGCTGTACACAGCAAAAGGTAGAGTGTATAATAATAATAACAACAACAACAACGGAACAAAAGCACATAATCGAACTCTGAAGTTTTTTTTTACGACTAGAGTCTCTTATTTTTCATCTATCGAGACACCACCAAAGAGAGTGGGGACAATTGATGTCTCTAACAAAAATCATCATCATTAACATCGCCATCGCCGCATCGAAATACTCAAACGATTCCAGGGAAAAGTTATACGCACTCTCATTTTAATTTCCAAATAAAGGCACACAATATCATTTCAACTGAATGATGATGGTTGGATGGTTGACGATGAAGATTTTTCCACCGTATATACATAAAGTTTTGCATGAGTTGACGAGAGATAGAGACATAGCGAGCCAGAGAGAAAGAGACAGAGAAGATTTTCGAAGCCATGGTGCACGGTGCTTCATTTCATACAAAGCTGTTTGTCATGATTTATAACAGTTGTAAAACGAAAGTCTCTTTTCTTCGACGGGTCGATTTTTTTTCTCTCGTCTTATTCTTCAAATTTTCAACATGAGATGCATTCTTCACCCTTGTAAATCAGTGTGTGTATGTCGTTAAGCAATGGACAATATGCCGTTGTCTCTCCCGGTCGACAAACATGCCCGAGCTATAGAAAGAGCAAGAAAGTGAAACGTGTTTGTTCAGTCGAAAGGTTGTTGGTGATATTTGATTTTGAAAATAATAATAATAAAAAAAGATAGTTGAAGTGTCTTTGTTGAACTTTTTCGAGGCTAAAAATCCATGGCATAACCGATTTTGTTAGCGTTGCTGCTGCTGTTGTTGTTAGTTTTTTCTTGGTTGTTGGTTTTTTTTTATTTCTTCTCTGCAGGTAATTTTTATTGGTATCTACGCCTCCTTTATTTCCATCAAGTGGACCATGCTATATAATATTGAAATATCGACGGAATTTAATGCTTTTCAATCGAAAGGTAAACGAAACATTTTCAAGAGAAAAAACCCAACGCGAACAAAACAAAAAATGAGCGAGAGAGAGAGAGAGTGAGAAAAATACTGCTGACAAATAGTGTTGACTAATTAACATTCGCCTGAAATATGATCCAAGCAAATATTTATACCCCAAAAATGAGCTAATTGCTTTTTTTTTGTTTGCATGTCGAACGGGCACACATAAATTGTTCAATTCACCGAAAATATATTTAATTTCGATTCAACGGTTGAATGCAACGGCAGATAGAATTAATGTTCGTAGTAGTGTTGCCACCCTCCTTGGCAACATATATATATACATATGTATGTATCGAAAGGCGTCATTTGATATAATTTTCGAGCATTTGGCATTTATCAAATTGCGCACATTGTGTGTACTACTGTATTTGCCATGAACGTTGAACGTATTTTATATGTGCGATGTATGAAATCCTTGAAATCAATGGAATCTATTGTATAATTTTGGAGTGTTGAACGCGCGCGTTTCGACGATGTGTGTGTGTGTGTCTGTCTGTATGAGTGTATATTCATTTATTGATTCAATCAGTCGGTCTGAATGAAGCTCATCAAAGTCGAAGGTGGTTTCTTGACACTGCACATTTTCTCCTTGTTGTCAGGTTTAAATGGTGCCATCACACCATCATCTCATTACTTGTGTTTATCGCTCTGTTTTTCCTTCTTCTTCTTCTTCTTCTTCTTCTTCTTCTTCTTCTTATTAGTTTTCAAATGTACATATACTGAAGGTCATACCAGCAAACTAAGTCATATAACCACGATTCGCGTACGAGAGCTCTCTGTAAGTGTTATGTGTTGTTGTTCGTAAGAGTGAAACATGAACACAAACGCCATGAGCAACGCAAAAGGGAAAGAAAAAACTACAAAACGAGAATGAGAAAGAAAAAAACAGATTGCATTGAATCATGTGTGACAAATCGCTCACGAAACTTTTCAGAAACACTGAAGCGTATTCGCATAAGGTCTATGAAGTCAATTTCATTAAAAAAAAAAACGGAATGCTTTTATTTTTTTCTCTCTCTCTCTCTCTCTCTCTATCGCTCCCTTTCTGTGTGTTTTCATATTGAATCAGGGCCTTTTTTTTACTCTACTGAATTTCACAGAAACGTCGACGAAAAATATAAATTCCGATTTCGAGTAATTTAAACAATTCAATTCTATTTTAAACGGTTGTTCGTAGAAATTATACATTATTTCAAACTTTTTTTTCCTTCGTCGTCTTGTATGTCGACACAATCGGCCAGCCAATATTTGGAACGGAATGGTGTGCTCATAATAAGCGGCGGCTATGCCAAGAAAACTTAGTAAGGAAAAAATATAACGAAGTAAAATAAAATCGGGGAAAAAGTTATAAAAATATGAAGCAACGAAACACTAATCAAAACAATATGCACGTTGATTGTGTGTCAAAGCCTGCAGTAGTGATTTGGTATGGTGTTTTACTCACCGTGGCCCCGGTTTTGTGTTGCTGCTGCTGTTTTTTTTCGTTTCGCTTCTTCTTTGAAGCCCATGAATGTGCGAGAGCAAGCAATGTACGAGGTGCGGAACGCTGAAGCATTTGGAATAAGAGCGCGTCAGCTCTCTGCATTGTTCGTATATATGTATGTTTCATAGGAAACCGTGACTATTTCATTAGCAAATATCAAACCAAATAGTCACGAACGTACTGTAACTGTCAAGCCCGTGCGCTGGTAAATATTTCGAGAAGAAGCTGTGAGTGCTCGATACACAAAGCATTAGCAACGAACTTATAATACAATCCATTCCATTCACGATAGTCGACGCACTTTGAAAATTTCATTCTAATATTAAGAGTAGCAAGCGCACATGGGGGCTCGACGACAACGACAACGACGATGACGACGACGACGATGAACAACAAAACATGAGCAAAAGAAGAAGAAAACGAAGTTAAACAAAAAAAATCCATACTTATAATGATCAAAAGGAAATTTATGAGTGCCAATTGAACGAATATTGTTTTCAAATTTTATTGAATCAATTCGACGCGAATGCTGCGCACGTTTTTTCCTCGGTCTCCCTCTCGGCCTCTTTCTCTTTCGCTTCGGTGTGTTTCTGTTAATTTTTTTTCCCTCGCTCATCGGTATTTTGGTAATGTTCATTAAACCAGTCAACATTCGCACTGAGCATGCAAAACGTAACATTTTCTTTTAATTTAGCGATTCGACTTCGGTTTGGCATTTGAATCAATAATGCTATTGTTGGCAATGAAAACGGGGGTTCAATCATAGCACAATGAAACGTGTGTGTGTGCACGGTGTGTACTGTACGCGCCCGTTGCCTCTATTACATTGTGCTCGTTGCTCACACTAATGCCGCGCGCATTTATGATAAATTCATTTTTCGATGAAACGTCAAACACAATAATCTATCGACGCGGTCGGAATTCTGTGTGTTGTTGTGTTTTTTGCTCACTTCCCATTCATTCGATCGTTTCGTTCCGTTGCTATCTTTTAAAAACAAAATTAGACACCCAGATTTCTCTCGAAATTTAATCTAATAAATATTATTATTATCCATGATTCGGAACGCTTCGGGGGAATGGGAATCACTTTAATTGTTAATCAAATCACACACAAACGCCCGCATCATGTAACTTTTATATGCGATTTTTTTCATCATCATCGTCGTTGTCGTCATCATTTATGTTTGTTGTTGCCGTCGACTGTATCTGCGCCTGTCCCTCAACGCTTCAAGATTTAATCGATATGAAATCGTTCCGACCTGTATGACATTTCAAATATTTAAACTCATTCTAAACTGTGTTAAAAAATTGTAGCCTGATTTTTTTTGCTGCTGCTGCTGCTGCTGCTGTCGCTGCCGTTGTTGTAGCCGCCGCCACAGCCATTGCTGCTGCTGCTGTTGTTTTGGGCGGGTTTTTATACAGTATCATATGAGCAAAGTACAGGCTTCATACATGAACTAAATTTACGTCGAGTTTCTGCATCTGTTTTCAACAGCTAAGATACTTAGTTGATTCTCGTTGTTTCGCCTTAATTCTTTTTCACTCTCTCATTCTCCCGCTCTAATTCTCTTCGCGAACATTAGTTTTTATGGCCACGTCCTTATACGTCATCCTTAATAGTTTTTCGTAAGATGGAAACTGATAAGTGCAAAGTAGAGCAATTCAGTTTATGGCAGAAATAGTCATATGGACAGAGATTGATGTATGAATTTTGTAGTATTTGCATGACCGACAAATTCAGCACAAATCCACCACCAGTGCATTGTATGGCAGTGGCAATAACAGTGTTCCATTTGGATAAGGCGAGAGCGCATCATTTGCTTTGCCCGCTTTAGATTGCTATCAACATAAAATGGGAATACAAATCGCACACATGATTTTGAAAATGAAAATCTCCGAAATGAAAAAAGAAAAAGAAAACCAAAGTACAAGTTCGACGTTCAACAACACGAACATTTCAACACAACAAACCAAAATATAGCATAATAAATTCTATATTTAGTGCTCAATATCACATTTCGTGGTCGATCGTCCATTCTATTTCATAATATTGCAATACGGATTCATTTGTGTTTTATCAACAACATCAGAAACGAAAGCGAAGAAAAAAAAAACTGGTAATTACACACACCATTCACTGCAAATAATATATTGAGAGCAAGCAGAAGGAGGTTGGAGGAAAATAACCCACCAATGGCGAGAAAAAGCATTAAACAAACGATTCTCTGGGATAAATCCCTCGCTATGTGGCCATTTTCATCAATTTCATACATATGCCACGCGGTGTTTGTGTGCTTCAAGTGAGAATTATCTCCCATAAGTGAGTGTCGAACACTCTACGTATGGTTAGATTGAAGGGAGTCCGTTGTTCACACAGAGGTAGGTTCACTGTGAATTAACATTTGGCTCATTGCTTCGGCTGCTGCTACTGCTGCTGCTGATGATGATGATGGTTTTTTTCGCGATTGCATCACAAACTCACTAACACAGTCGAGTGCACATTTCTCCACCATGACAATTGAATCAAAATTGTACGAAAAAAAGAAAGAAATAATAATCACAATACAATCGGGTATATTCGACAAGGCAAATGCGCCGCAAACGAACTATTCCAAATTGGCTTATTTAAAATTCTCAAGTTTCTCACAAACAATTGGGGAAATACCGATTAGTTAGTTATCATTTTTAACTTGATTCATTTTTCCATGTGCAGTTGTGGTATGTGTGTGCATGTGCTTTCATTTGATTTGCAAGTTTCGTTTTGCCGGTTTTTCGTTTGCCGTCTTACATGCAATTGGCTTTAATTAAATTTGATTACTCCGAATTGACGGCAGCGATATTTATGAAAACCATCTATCAATTTGAAAATCAAGGCATCCACCACCTTGAAGCTAAATTGTGGTTGGGCCCGTTTTTCAAGGCGTTCTGAATAAGTCAAGTGTGCATATACTACCAGATACGTATGTATGTGTATGTGTATGGAAAAAGGTAATATGCGTTGAATTGGTCGCAATTTTCATATCTTTCTTTCATTTCTCTCCAAACTCTCTCACTCGACGACAGTACAAGGAGAAAATGAGACAATACGATCAAAAAAACTTAATGCTCAACTCTGAAAAGTTGAGTTTTTTTTTCTTCAGAAAACATTTTGATTTGATTGCCTCATTGAATTAATTCAGTCTGTTGTTAGGTTGAAAGAAAGAAGATTAATAGAAAAACGCAGACCCAATGTTTTAACCAAAGTCAAAATAGAGAAGACAGACTCATTGCTTTTTAAATAGTCAATGGACTCAAAGACACATCGCGTATTGTCGCCTACATTGTTTCCACTGTATGTTTTTTTTTCATTTCGACTTGTTCTTCTTCTTCTTCTTTCGACGCTCGTCTTGGGGACGAAATAATAACTGAATGCGTCAAATACACGCATGCCGAGTATACCCGTTCTAACGATATTCCTACTATTCATGCCGATAAAATATTTAACGATAGCCAATTATAAGTGAGTTTGAAATTCGAAAAGCGAACATTAAGAAGTGTATGTGTGTGTGTGCGCTGTGAATGAGCGGCTTTTGTCTTGGGCACACTGTCGTGTGTGAAGGCTCTTCTGAGTCGGGTGCCTGGGTAGGTGCGTGGAATAAGTCATAAATGAAATTATATGTAATAAGTGATAAGCGTTTCACAAAACTGCCTATCAAAAGCGAGTGCAAAGCAGCTTGTTGGCAGCTCAACCAAGCCAATTTTCCATTATACATGCCGAAACGAAGAAAAAAAAAGAAGTATTTTTCGTTGTTAATTCTGACAAATAATCCATTTATCTTACTCCCCTTTTTTGGTTTTCGGGCTTTCGGTGATGGTGAAGCGAGCGCGCGATGCGCTGCGGTTCGATGCTTACCGGCCACTCTCACTCAACTCGGTTGCAATTTACTCTCGTCGTTTGAATCTCGTGTATTATTTTTTTTTAAAGAGCATATGACGATGATGCGATGATGAAAATCGCTATGTGCCATTGAGTAAAAACAGCTGTACCACGCCCGGCTCTATGCGCCGAATCTCATGCACACTGAAAATATCACTATTGTTCACCATTGAATTCTAAAATTTCTGATGGCAATCGTTTTCGATGTCAGTCTGTCGTAACTATGAATGTATCGAATGGCAAAAAAGAACCGTTTTCGTTTTTAATGCTCAGTATATATACTCTCTTTTTTTCCTACGTCGTCGTCGTCGTCGATGTTCGACGACGACGATGTTGTTTTTGTTGTTGCTGTTAATGTTAATATTGTTGTTTGTCTGTCTTGCTCTATCTCTTTTATGGCTTGTCTTTCCCTTCGGATATGACCGTCTCTTTCCGTCTCTCTCTCTTTCTCTCTCCGTGCTCAATCTATATTTGGCTGGTGGAAATTATTGTTTAGACGTGATGTACATTTTATTGTTGGTAATATTGTCGCTTCTGTTTTGCATCACTAGAGATGCAATTAATAGCGTTGCTGTTATATATATACGTTTTTTTCCCAACTCGCAATGTTTTTCGGTATGCGCGTTGCTCTCTCGTTCGCTCGTACATGTATTTCATAAACCATTCAAATAATATTATTTCCTGCCATTGCCATTCCACTGCAATAAAAATTGTTTGAATTTTTGTTAATTCTCTTTCAGCAATTGTTAGTCTTGCGAGACATTCGGCACTAATATCATTTCGAAGAAGAGAGAGAGAGAGCGAGAAACATTTACTGTCCACATATAATTGCAGTTTTTGGATATTAGGTGCTAGATTTCAATTTTTCCTCTTATTTCATTTCGTTTTCGTACGTTCGCTTTGAGTTTGGCTGCTGGTTTCACTTGTTGCTAATTTTTTTTCTCTCTTTTTCGCTTTCTTGTTCTCTTTGATTTCTTATCGGGGTCTAAAAATGTGAATTTAGTTATTTGTCTTTGCAGCATTTTTCGGTTTCCTGCCGCGCGCGTTGTATTCGTCTCATGTTTTCGTGTGTTTTTTTTTCGGCAATTCTTTTATATACTCTCTGTGACGATCAAGAGTGAGTGAGAGAGTGAGAGAGAGAGAGAGAGGGAGAGAGAGAGCGAAAAAAGGTTTTCGTACGGATAATGATTTTTGGACGCAATTGTTCACTATTTCGGACTTAGTAAGCAATGACCTTACAATGAAATTTTCTTTTCACCACACATCCCAAAATGCGAGAAAAGAACATTCCACACAAACCGTGCTTCATGTGCCATTTACTCACTACAAATAAGCATGTTTTTGTGGTGTATCCGTTTCTGTTCGAATTTCGATATAGAAATAGCTACTGCAAATTCCATTCCAATCGAAAAAGTTTTATTTTTTTATTTTTTCGAAACAATGCAGACGCAGATCATTTCGATTTAAAATGTTGTAACAAATAAAAGCCAGAAATCGTTTGTGTTGAACGCAGAAGAGAGGAGAAAAAAAACGCACACACATTTTAAAATGCTTCTGTCTCTTTGGTTGAATAAAAATGTGTTTTTTTTTTCTACGTTCGTTCGTTCGTTTTGGGCTGTGCGTTGTTTTTTTTTTCTCGGTCGCTTTTTGTTTGAAATCTCTGTGAAATATTTTTGTGAACGTACGAGATAGATGTTGACGACGGAATGGCACAGCCGACGGCAAATTAGTTGCCGTTTGCCGTCGTTTTGTCAAACGCATGAATATATATGAACAAATGTGATGCTTCTGCTTCTTAAATCCTGTTAGTGTGTGTCGTTCATAGGAAACTTTGAATACCAGAGACAAAACTTTTCTTCTTCATAACAATTGCCTAATCATCGAAAGAAAGAATGTTATCTCCCTTCTTTTTATCCACCAATCTCTAAGAATTGGCCACATAACGGCTCAGCTACATAGTCAACAGAAGACGGAAAAAAGTTTGCCGAAGAATAGAGAGAGAGAAAGAGAGAGAGAGAGAAGAAAAAGACAGAAGACAATACAGTAAGAAATTTCTTTTGCGGCAAAGAATGGCAAATCTGAAAAATGGTTCAGAAGCAGCTAAGATAAAGATTTGAAAAAAAAAACATCCGCTCAAGTCGCTATTTTTTTTTAAATTTTTTAGTTCAATTATGATTTTCTTTATTTTTTGATTTAAACGATATATTTATATAAATTTCTACAAATCGCTTTCTATGTTCACTTGTGTATCTATATGTATATGTGTGTGTGAGTGTGTTTTGTTGTTGGTTTTATAAATCGGAAGAAAAAAAAATTGTTGTTATTTTTTCTTTCGCTCTTGTTGTCAAATTTGAATTGTGGTTGTGGTTGAATTTTCAAATCATACGATTTTATGTTGCCTTGATGGTTTTGTTTTTCTTCTTCTTCTTTTATTTTGCGTGTAATGCCCAGAACTTTTATGTATTTCGTAATAGCAATAATAATTTTTTAATAATTTTTTTTTGTTTGCTTTGTTTCTTTTCATTTGTTATTAGTTGAAATAAATCTAATATCACATTTAAATGCAACGCAGCTTGGTGTTGCTCAAAGTTTGTGTATGTATGTATGTATGGTTGTTGTTGTTGTTGTTGTTGTTGTTGTTTTTCTTTTCTTTCTTTCATCCTTTTCCATTTGTTGTTGATGTTTTTTGTTTCTTTTGTTACTTTTAACTTTTAGAGTGTGTTGGTTTTGTTTTATAATTTGTTTTTCATATTTTACTTCTCTCCCTACATACAGTGAACTCTTGACGTAGCAGACCAACCTTGGAGCGCACCAAATGGCTGCAGCAAATCCATCGAACGCGCAAACACATATCAATTCAACAATGCTTCGATGGTGTAATTGAAAGCATGGCTTGTTTTGCTGTTATTGTTGCTGTTCGCTTTTTTTCCCTTCTTTTCTATCATTTGTTACTCAACTACCACTGATTCTTGAATGCTACAATTTTGCGTTTTGCGATAACAAAGTTTTTAGCGATCTAAAATACAATGGGAATTGTCGCATAGTTAGGAGCAAGAGCGAGAGCACAAAAGACTTTGCCTATTTAATTATGTGCGGACCACAATGTAATTCAATTGTTCAATTTGGTTCACCCGGTATGTGTGAATCAAATGGGCTCGGGACAGAGGGTGGTCCGCTTGATTTTGAGTTCACTGTATTTGTTGTTGATTTCAACGTTTTTTTTTCATTTTATTTTTCAGTTCAGTTCAGTTTTTGTTTTTTTTATTCATTATTATTTTTTATCTCTTTCTCTCGCTGATTTCTATTTCCTTTGCTTGGTTTTCTATTTGTTATTAGTTGTGTTTGAATGTAGGTAATATGAATTGGTTTTAAAGTTTTGTTGTTTTTTTTTTTGCTTCATTTTCCTAAATATATATAAAACACAGATAATACAAGAATAAAAAGAATAAAAAATTATGTGGGTTCTTGCAACTAAAACAGAACAGGAAAAAAATCATGTTTTTCATCTTCTTGTTGATGATTGACGTTTTGGTCAGCTTCTTTTTCGTACCTTCATCTTTCATTTTCATGATCATTGTACAATTATTATCTCTCGTATTTCAGAATAATTTGCTTATTTGCTGTAGTTCTATTTTCGGTTCATTGATGATGATCATTTCGAAAAAAAATTAAATAATAAAAAAAACGAGAGAAGATTAAGAAGAAGTAGAAAAAGAAACGAAAATAAGAGAACAAAAAAATAATAATAAAAGAAACAAAATGGTCTGCCTGATTGATTCGTTCTCTTTTTTTGCGCTCCATGTCCATCGAATACATGGAATTTGTGTTTGATGAGGAATTTCGATGGCAAGGGCACTAACTGCTTTTACGATTCTTAAACTGATAGTAAACATCATTTCACTATAGGCTAGAGTAGTAGATTTATCAATTAAATATTCAATCTTAGGTAAGCTGCCTACTTTTGAAAGCTGATTATACTCACATAAAACGTAAACGCATTACACCACATTAGAACTTTTTTTCTAATATTTTTTTTGTCTATTTGCTTTTTTTCGTTCGTTAAAATTTTTTGTGTGTTTTTTTTTTCTTTCATTCTCTATCATGCTTTTTTTTATTGTTGTTTCGTTTTGTTAATTCTTTTTGCTGTTTGCAATCAGGAAGGAATGTCAGTTTGATCATTTTGATTTGCTGAATACAATACGTTAATAAGTGAATTGGTATTTTGAAATGAATATATGGTGGAACAATATGTAAATCATCGGTAATTACAGCACAATGTATGAAATTGGCTTTACAAAACATTATCGATTGCTATGATTTGTTTTTTCTTCCTTCTTGTAACTCTATATGCAATTTACATGTTCTAATTTCACTTTTGCGACTTTTTCTATCAATTTGTAATTCTCGTCTTTTCTGTTTTCTGTTAAATCATTTCTTGAGTTTGCCATTCATAAAATATACACGTAATTTGTTTGTTTGTTTTTTTTTGTATGTGAGTGTGGCGGTGGGGGCATTGGAAAATTACCCTCACATAATTATTAAATTTGTTTTTTTCTTTTATATATTTCTAGTATCCTGCATTTTTATGTTTGTATATTGTGTGTATGTTATTCAGTTTTGTTGCTCTGTATGTTCGTTACCTCGATTGTGGAATTTCGGGTTGTTTATACCATCGTTCACCAGATGAGAGTGTGTCATGCATTTTTTGTGGTCGTTGTTGTTGTTGTTGTTGGTGTTGTTGCATCAGCGTCGTCAGCAAAACGAAATGATGAAACACGAGATGAGATTGATGTGTGGTCGTTGGTTGTTTTCGAGAGCAGTCCTTCAATTATGCAATCGCCCATCGGATTATTTAGTGGAATACGGATGATGTGAGTTGAGGAAAGGCCGTGGCAGAGGCCATCAAATATGGATGCAACCGATGTGAACGTAAATATTGCCGATATTTTCCGTTTAACGCGTTCAATTTGTCGTCACGGTAGCTATTGTTCGGTGTGGCGTCGGGTAGACCAGCTTGAAAATCCCGTGGCACGGCCGCCATTTGACTATGTTCCCAGTTATCTAAGCACAGCCGTATGTCAGCAAGCGAACTATCATTACTATTTGGATTGTTTGTATTAGAATTATTGATACTAGGAGGATTATTATTGTTGCTATTGGCCGGGTAATACGCCTGTTGCGACATTTGAGACATCTTTTGTTGCTGTGTGGCCTGTTGTGACGACAGCGAACGTTGCTGATGGTGTTGAGGATTTTGTTCTAATTTTTGGCGTTCCATCGACTGAGAATGATGATTGTGGCTGTGGCTGTTGTGATTATGATTTTGATTTGGATTATGGTGCAGTGATTGGCTTTGTTGCTGCTGCTGCTGATGTTGCGCCGCCGCCGCCGCCACCGCCACTGATGAGTACGATGATGTTTGTGTGATTTGCTGAGAATTTCGACTACTTCGTCTACTTTGTGTTGAATTTCGCGACGAATTCGGCATATTGTTTATGAATGGCGAACGCCGTTGTTCGCTTTCTATTTTACGAAAATAACAGGGATGTATCATCAATAGCAGTGGTTCGACGCGAGCGCCTGGCGGTGGCTTCGCTTGATTTGGTAACTCATATTCTACGCTGCAGTCAACGTGCAATGGAACGCTAAAATCTTTCTGTGGAACCTGTGCCGATTGCATTCGCGATGGCTGTGGAATCGGAATCAGTTGGGACTGTTGTGCTTGCTGGTGTGATTGAAGCTGTTGCCGTTGACGTTGCTGTGACACCGCACCCAGAAGGCCATAATTTGAGTAGCACGCAGTCATTGCCATCTTACAAAATATCTATTCCAACCAATTTTTGTTATAATGGATCTATCACGAGACTATATCCGCACTTTGTTCGTGCACACACGATTTACTTGATTTATACTCTTTTTTTCCGCACCAATGGCAGCGACGATATCCAGAAAATTCACAGCTTTCGATTTGGTTACTATTTTATTTCGGTTTATTCTTTTTTTTTGGATTAATTTCTTTCTTGGCTCGCGAAGAATTGATCGCACCGATTTCACACCGCGTATCGTTTCACACTTTAAAGAATTGCTTATTTTGTCTCGTGAACGTAATTGCCCTTTATTATTATCTTCTCCGCTATTTTTTTTTTGGTATGTTGCAGTCGACAATTATATCGATTCGCCCGTTTTCAAAACACTATTTCTTTTCTCTATTACTTCAATTTATTAATTTTTTTTTTGTTACTTTGTTCACTAAAATCAAACTATTTTCTTTAATTATATGTAAAATTATTAAATAATTGGCACATTTCACGTTGGAATATGTAAACTTCAAGCAATGCGCTTATATTTTTTTTCTTTTCTATCAATCTTTTGCGATTGGTTTCGTTTCGTTTCTTTTTCCGTGCATTCGGCGAATATGCTTTCCTTTTTTGCGTTGCTTTTGCTTTTTTCGTTTCTTTGTTGGTTGGTCGTGCTCGTGTTTATCTATTTAGCAATATATTTGAGAAGCCAATTTAATATGCTCTTAATATTTTTTTTTTCTTTCGCTTCTGTTACTTTAAATTTATTATTCTGATTATTTTTCAAGTATCACACATATACACACTACTTCGACGCCACGTTCTGCAGCGCGCTTTTGGTCATAATTCTTGTTAAGCTGCTTTTCTTGATGTATTTAAAAACTATTGAAGAAATGCCATCGACGCACTCAAACACAACATTTCTTGGTAGATTGTTATGGTTGTTTGTTGTTGCTGTTGTTGTTGTTGTTATTATTATTGTGGCGGCGATGGTGATGGTGGTGGTGGTGGTGGTGTGGTGGTTTTTGTCAGGAGCGTTTATGCAAAATCGATGAAATGAAAACTACGAAATATAATTCACTTATATTTATGTTCGTCTATTACATATAAATACGTATAACATATACAAAAGGGTAGTGGCTGCAAGAACTCAGTCTTTTAATCATCCAAATCAGCAAAGAAATGAATCCATTTATGCTTTTTCCGAAGGGTCCACGATATTCAAACACAATTCGATTAATTTCTTTCACAAACTCAGTCTTAGGAATTCAAATTCAACACATTCTATTTTATATGGTTGGTGTGTCTGTGTTTTTTTCTTCTTTCTTCTTCGTTTGAGTCGATTCCGTACAATCTTCTCAAAATATGAATTTTTCCTAGGTTTTTTTTTTCTTCTTCGTCGTATGTGTCGTTTTCTTTTCGCTTGTTGTCTATTCCGTGGTTAGGCGATAGTCTCTCTGTTTCACGAAAACTTCACTTTTTTTTCTGTGAGTGTTTACCCGATTTCAACTAATTCAATAATGTAGTCGATTCTATGGTTTCTAATTCATTTGCGGATTTTCTTTTGCGAAAATGAACGAAGAAAAGAAAAACGGTGCATCGAGACAAATTTGCATGTATATTTTGAATTGATGAAAAAAAAAAAAAACAAAACCGAAAGAAACTATGCGAACTGTTTTTGTGTGAATGTCTCTCCGTGGTTTCTTAAATGGTTCGGATTATTTTAATAACTCTAACTATCACAAATCAAAGACAGAAAAAAAACAGCTGAGCCAACGAGCTCAATTGTGTTGTATACTTCTCGGGCTCTGCGCCTCGACTGCAGTTACGAAAGTGTTTGAACCGATTTGTGTTTTTTTTTCTCTTCTTCTTCTCTTTCAGTTGCTCCAATGATATGCGAACGTACAGCCATTATGACATACGGACACACGATCGAGTCGCACCGCTCGCACGCACACATTCATCTGGTATGCGTCACGTGCGGCTGTCTCGCTCGGTATTGTGTTCGTCGTTGAAGTGAGAGCATTTGTCAATTTTATGCAGAAATACAAAGGCATTGAGAGGCCAACTTTTTCGCCCATGTCGAAGACGAGACACGGTTTTTCGAGCAACGACAACGATGACAGACAAAGCTTGCGCGAAAGAGACGAAACTAAGTAGCATCATTACCGATATGGTGATCGGTGAGTATTCTGACGTATTCTGACGGATTCTGAGACTGTTTCTTGAAATTGTGCTACTGCATAAAGCGCAAAGAAAAACGAAATGGGGAGAAAAGTGAAAGAGAGACGAGCGTCGGGAAGAGGAAAAAAGCAGCAACAGCAGCAGCATCAAAGATCGAAAAGAATGCGAATAGACGTTTATATAATTAAACCATTTTTCTTGTCATGTCGTTCCACATGTACCTATCTCATTCCGTTGTTGACAATTCGAGACGTTTAGTCAAATTCCACTTAAATTAAATATCTCATAACACTTCTTTTTTTCTAAAAAAATAAAATAAAGTTTTATTTCTCATTGCTTTCTCTTCTTCTGCTTCGTTTTCTTTCCATCAACTGGCTGTCGACGGACTGAAGGTGGAAATGGGTGCATTTTCCATCGCTTATGAACCGCGGTATGCTGTACGCACTGTACACAGATGCCAAGGACGAACATTTTTCAGGTTTATAGAAACCTTATCAACTCTGGCACCCATTCCATGTACTCGTTACGAGTGAGTGCTTCAACACTCGAAATATGTGATGTCGATGTGCTTTATGTGTGCTTTATCTGGCCGACTGCATATACAAATTTCAAAAGTCTATTCAACTTTTGATGAATATTTTAGAATTGAACTCATTCATACATGCACGAAAAAAAAACATTCTCAACAACAGTCCTCTTCGAAATAGAAGAAACATCAAACCGGATTGATTAGACACCATCGCTTTGATGACAGAGAGGGAGAGAAACAGAGATAGTGAGCGAAAGAAAAAGAGGGAAACAACGCATAGACGAAATGGAAAGAGCGAGAGCGAAGGGGATAGCAAATATGTAATTTTCAATGCAGAATTACCGACTGTAATCAAATGGCATTGGTGCTTTAATACAGGGAAAAAAGTGTTCAATTCAACTTTTATTGCGCGCTTTAATGTGTGCAAAGACATTCTCTCGGTAGCTCGTGTTCGCATTCAAAGTACTTTCATTCGGCCACGCTCCGGCGCTTAATAGATGCATTTATTCAACATGAAGAAAAAAAATTAAATCTGCTGGCTACTTTATGCAAAACAGTGAAGATCGAGAAAGTCTACGGCCACATTTTTTTTAATGACTTCAAACTATTTGAATTTGTTGTTTGGTGGTTATTTTTTTCTCGTTCTTTTCTATCGTACATTTCCTGATGATCGGTAGACATGTAGATATATGTACGATTTTAATAATACGGTATCTTCCCTTGATTCGCCACCCTTCCAATGATCCCAACGACATGTATATACGTATTAAATTTTTCCATCCAAACAAACAACAAATCGCACACTCCAAATAAATGTCGTCACAAATTGACTCATTGACGCATTAGGTATTAATTTGATATTTCTGTACTTCTGTTGTGATGTTTGTGTGTTTTTCTTTCTCTCTCGCTTGTCTTTCTCATTTCCACTGAATCTATTATGAGTCAGTTTTCGCCCTAAAAAAACAATCATTTTCTGATTACTATGAATTGCCGACGTATTTCAATCATTTCTTAATAATAGTCAGAAATCATTTGGTAAAGCGAAAAACCAACGGCGACAACAGCACAACCAGGTTGAAAGAAAAGTTTTTGAGTAATAAATACGGCTTCGTACAACCCGTCCCCCTTAAACTTACCGTTCAGCATCAAGAAAAATGTGTTTGCATAAATGATAATGACGTCTACGACGATGAACAACCTGAACAAACTCATAAAAGCATTCAGAAAATATTCCAAAGAAAATGAAATAATCTCTCTTAATATTCTTTTTATCGCAATTTTGTGAAATCTTTATTCGAATTCTACGGAACGAAACAAACACTGTGCTCAAACATCAAATGAATGTTGCGAAGGTATTTCAGTTCTGTGTATGTGATGTGATGTCGATTAGCAAATCAATAGGATAGATCAACAAATCGAACAAACAATCAGACAATTTCAACTTGACCACATATTTAACTTAAATTAAAGGTTTGCCTTTTTGTCGTTGCAAAGATAAGAATTGACTGAACTTTAGAATATGGATTTTGAAAATCCCATGCCATTCCAACCGGTATAGCTTCAGGTCAAATTGAAAAACTCTCACACACATAAACAGAGGGAAATAAATACAAAAGCCAATGTTGAATCCATATGGTTCAAAGCACATAGAACTGAAAACTATTTAGCTAATCTCTTGGCATGAATGCAGGTTTATCTTAATAGTGGTTCGTGATATTCAATCGATGAATCGGTTTTAATACTTACCCATTTTGATGATTTCGAACCGGGCCACATAATTGTGTGAAAAATGCTAATTAGGATCGATCTATTCATTAATTTCACATTGGGAAAAAAATTGCCCGGATCGGCCAGCCAGCCCATGTGAGTTCTCATGTTTCTATACAGAAAAGCAATTGTCAATCATAAAATGAAACCAAATTGACTTTTTGTGTATTTTTTTTTTCATTTTTACATATTTAATGATACTCTGTTGTTCTTTATTCGAACACACTTATTTGTTAAGAAAAAAAACTGTCTAATGGTTAAGCAAAAAAAAAGAGTGTATGTATAAAAATGGATAAAAATTATTTCATAAAATTACAAAAAAGAAATACTATTCAGAAAACGAAACAAGTTCTTTATGCTGAGTGTTAAATGCTTCAAGTTTCCATCTTCTTGGAATTTTGATGATGATATTTACGCTCTTTTCGAAAAAGTTCACTTCACATTTAGACATGGTAAATATATTCTTAAAATAATAATAATAATAATAAAAACGATGCATGAATGTGGCAAACTGCTATGGCTTGAATATTCAAAAGCGATTTAATTAAAGATTCGTCGCATGGTCGCCATTTATCCAATTCTTTATTTTTTCATATCTCGGTGTGAGCGTGTGTAAGTGTATGTGTATGTGTGTTTGTGTATCTCTCGCCATTAACATTATTTCAACGATATACCATTTGTTTCTTCCTACCAAATAATAATAAAATTAAATAATAATAATTTCTTTCTTGCATTTTTCTTTTCTTCTTAATCTCTATGCTCATTTTTTTTTGTTCAACTACAGAATGCTAAAACGATTGATACTTGAATTTTTCTTTCTTTCTTTTATAGAAATCAGGCGACTGGAATCTCTTCGGAGTATACAGCACACCAAGCAAATACGAATAAATGTATAAATAAGCCATTAAAAATGGATTATGTGGTCGAAAACGGATTTGCATCCTGTTCTGAAGTCCCCGAAGTGATTCGACTCTTCAGTGGCCTGCATATATTTATGTGTATATATATATATTCTCTAATTTAATTTCAATTATGTTTTGTTTGTTTCTGTTTTGTTTCATAGAAATTGTGATCCCATAGAATATTTCATTCATTTTCAATCCATTTTTTTCTTCTTCTTTTTCTTGTTCTGTTCAATTTCGTGTCTAAATAATTCATGTCATATCACTATAAATTTCTTAAAATAAAAATATCCACACAGTGTGAGTGAATGCTAATTCGAAAATTAGGGCATTTCTTTCTTCTATTCCTTCGTATCTACAATACCTCCGTAATTCTGGCAAATTACGACAACACGTCTTTCACTCACTTTCTTTTCTTTCTTTTTTTTTTTGGTAAAGTCAAGTTTTAACGCTGCTCAATAATTTTTGTTTAATTAACCGAATTTGATTTTAAATTTTGCACAAAACAACAACCATGTCCCAGTAAAAATTGATGGAAAAGATCAAAACAAAAAACATCTGAATTCTCAGATGAGAAAGAAACACATGCAACAAAAATAGAAACATTTTCTTTCATATATTTTGATTTTTTTTCTGTTTAGTTCATCAATGGTTCCAAACACATCGTTCGTTCAATTAAAAATTTAGTTTGTTGTTTTTCTCGTCAATATTGTTGGAATTAAGTATAAGACTGATTGATTTTTGTTTTGTTTTTTTTTTTAAATATATATATATATATATATATTTTTTTTTTGTGTATTCCAGCAACAAACATATGTGTGTATGTGTGCTTGGTTCTACTAAAATAGTCTGTGTGCTACAATTGTTCATTTATCGATATGGTTTTACAATTTTTAAACAATTCAAAAAATACTATTTTTTTTTATTTTTCTCTCTTTTGCATAGAGTTTTTGTTATTGTTGTTGTTTCTGATGATAATATTGTTGTTGGGACCGAGATATATAATAAGATGCTTGTTAATTTTGTATGTTTGTTCAAATCTATCTCTTGTGCAGAATACAAATGGATGCTACTCTAAAAACACATTCAAATATTTTAAATAGAGATTTCCATATTATGATAATAATTTTTATTTTATTCATTCATTTTGTATTTCGTTTCTAATTTTTTTCCTTCTGTTGCTTCATTCAAAGGTCACCTTTCATAATTTGTTTGTATGCTACAATTCACTTTGCTCTATAATATTTTATATATATAAATTTTATTGAATGGAAAGTGTAAGACTAAAAAAATATTATTTGCAATAAATGGTCCATTCGAGAAGGGTTTGGAGAGGAATTTATGTCGAACATGATGATAATCGAGACACATTGAATTCATTTTCTTCGTCATATTGTTACAATCTATCATGCGTAATTTTAAAAAAAATCTTTATATTTGTCAGAACAGAAACAAAAATACTAGCTTTCGCACCGGAATAATTCACGCGTCTAATGTACGGCATCAATATCTCTTTGAGCACGGGATATTTTCAATTTGTCCTTTGGCGTTTGGTTTTCACCCGATTCCAGTGCAAACATTTTCATTTTTTCTTTAAACGACAACTTCTCTGGCACACCATCGCCAGACTTTTGCTGCTGTTGCTGTTGCTTTTCTTGCAGTCGGCGCGTTCGTGGATCTCTGCATGGACGAAATTGGAATCAGAATAAATTGAAAATTGAAAATTCAAATAATATGATGGACAAATTTGAATTGAATTATTATGTTCAAAACAATTGAACAAGACAAGACGTTGCCATAAATTGGCGATTTTCCCGTTTGAAAAAAAAAAAAAAAATTCGAACCATTGGTCGTTTCATACCTGTAAACTTCTTGGGCGCCTATTACGCCAGGGGTTTGTTGTACAGTTGTGTTCCATGATTCGCCCTCAGGTGTTGTTGGAGTCTGAAGCATGGCTGAGGTTTCTTGAATAAATCGCTGCAAATGGAAATAGAAAAACGTCCAAGCAAAAAAAAATTAAATAATTTTTCGTTGTAGAAATTAATAAATAAAAATTAAGCAAGACAATTCCACAAAAGCTACATACGTTTGGATCTTCCCGTAAAATGCTCAGATCGGCTTGATCGCCACTCGTCTGTCCCATGATCAGATTGTTTTCTTCGTCATGGAATGATACGCGTTTGTTGTCGCGAGCTGCCATCATCGAAGCAAGAGATGCATTCGTTACTGTGGTTTGCATCGGTGACGCCAAATTATTGCTACTTAATACACTATGATTCGCATTCGTATTGCTGCTGTTATTTACGCCCGAAATGCTAATATTGCCATTGTTCGTACTGTTATTGTTGCTATCATTATTATTGTTCAAGCTATCGTTATGGACATTGTTTGTGGTGTTGTTGCTGTTGTTGTTGTTAGTGTTATTTGCGATGGTTTTTTTATTCGAAATCATGAATTGGCCAAAGGCCGACGGCTGCTCATTGCCTAATGTAGATGATGATGATGATGTGGTTGTCTTTTTTACACTTTGATTTGTAATGGTCGTGGTGAGGTTATTGTTTCGCAAACTTTGTTGCTTCTGTGACATCACCACATACGATGAATTTCGTTCGGGTGGTGGCGGTGGACCGTGCAAGGTATTGTTCAGCGAATCGATGCTCATTTCGCTCATTTCTTTGATTTGGTAGCTGGATGTGGAGGTTGTTGACTCGTTAAAGCTCATGCTGTTCAAATCTCGCACCACACTCGTTACGGACGCATCGGCATTCTGGCGATCATCGGCAAATGTCGTGGACTTTGCTTGTTTTGACGGCGACGATGGATTACTGTTGCTGGTTCGCTCGACACGAGCGTTATTATGTTTCAAAATACTCTTTGGTTGAACGTGAGCGGAATGCGTTTGACTCATGCTCGACTGTGGATGCTGTTGCAGTAAGCCATCGTTCAATCCTTGCATGCTGTCATTGTTGGCATTTGTAGAGACATACGATGGCTGCGGAACTATATTCGTTTTTACATCCACCTGTTTCATGTTCGTCACTGGCGTCGACAATTGATTCGAATTTTGCGCCAGCCGAATCACCTCTTGCATATTATCTTTACCATAGTTTGTGTCATTATCCTCTTCCAAGTCGCCTTGCTCTTGGGCCAATCGCTCGAAATCACGTTCCAGAATTATGGTTTTCAGCTGCTCCTCCTGTTGTGGCGTACGATGTGGCAAATTCGACAACTCAATGATATGATGTTCACGCCATTGGCGAGCCTGTTCGCGACGCATTTCATTCTCTTTTTCACGCTCTTCTCGCTCCCACGGACTCATCGTTGTCGTTCCAATGAAACTCTTCGGTAATACTTGCGATGATGGATAATAGGCCGATTGATAACTCATATTCGGCGAACTGCAAATTTATCCAAATTTTCAACAATTAATGAACCATTTTTTAAATTTAAAAAAAAAATCGGTGGAAAAATGGTGCGATTTCAATACCTAGTGATTCTCGACTGATCGTTAGCGGTTTTGAATAGAGGGTGAGTAGCCGATGGCGGCAATGGAGGAGATAAATCATCTTTATGATGTTGCGGCCGATTCATCTAAATTAAAAACGAAAAAATTGAATCTCGTTCATATTTTTAATTCTTAGACATTTTATTGTCGGTTTTATTTACCTGTGGTTTCGGTGCGGTTGGTGGAAGTTGTTTGGGCATATAATTGATGCCAGATTGCGATGAGTGTCCCTTGGTCAAGGTGGCATTTGCTCGGAAATTGTTCATCATGTCATTTGGATTGGCGCCGGGCGACAAGAGCATCGAGCCGCTCGAAAGATTCGGCATGGAATTCTGGGAGTTGTGCACATTTACATCGAGTGCATACATTGGTACCATATCTTGTTGGCGTTGCTGGCGTCTGCGCGCCAATTCGGCCATATCCAATGTTTGTGTATTCTCTTGGATCTTCGGCATATCGGAGTTGTAGCCGTTTGAAAAGGTTGCATTCATCATTTGATTTGGGTTCGATTGTTGTTGCTGCTGCTGCTGCTGCTGCTGTTGCATCGGCTGCACATAATAGTTTGGATGAATCATATTGACATTTTGCATACTTTGACTGGCGGTCATGTTCGTTGAATAGCCGCTGGAATGTGCGATATTTGGCATTGATGGTGCCATCATCGGATTCATTCGTAAACTCTGTTGGTTTTGCGTGTCGCGAACAAAAGCATTCATTGGTCGATTGTTCATCGTGTGTGACTGATTCGAGAGTAGGTTATTTCCGGCGATATTATTGTTCGATGGTAGCACATAATGGCCGGACATTTGCGAAGGCAATGTATTATTACTTTTGTTATTGGTGTTGAAATAGGCTGAAGCTGGACGGCTTAAGAGTTGTTGATTAGATGGTGTCGTTGTAGAGTTTGTGGTTGAAATTATTGTCGATTGAGAGGGGATTTGAGAGCTGTTGTTTCGATAAAAGCAAGGAAAAGTAACACACATTGATATTGATTTTTTTCGATTCAAAGAAAACTTTGTGTTCATAAATCATTTTTTATGTTTGATAACAATGAACAACACGAATACATACCGATCTCCCAAGTTTGGTTGACTTTGATTTTGCGCTCTGTAAACACTTAGATTTTGATAAAAGCTTTGATCTGTACTTCCAGTTAAATTGTGTATACTTCTAGATTTATTATTGACGATACCTAAAATAGAGAGTCATACCAATGGAAAAAAAAGAACAACAAAATGAAAATCATGCTCATAATCACGTCATCGTCGTCAATTGCGCGGTTGATATTACGACGCAATAAGGTGACGTTGTTGTCTTACCGCTGTTGCCAACGTGATGGAGAGCCGGTACTGATTTACTGTTGGGTAATTGGTGTGCATGCGCCATCATTGATTTTGGATCACGTTCTGACATTCGACGATTATCTATTAAAAAAAAAGAAGTACAAACGACCATTTGTCGATTAATCGATGTGTTCAAGGATTTTCAATCAACATAAATATTTATGCTGATGTGGACAAAAGTATTTAGTATCATGCAATAAACAACCGAAAAATAATTCACTTAAAAATATAACAAATAAATTATTATACCAAATAAAAAACGAAACCAACCAAAGTATCATGCAGTATAAGAACACACAACAAACATAGTATCTATTTTTGATGAATGTTAGTTGAATTGTACGTTATAATTGTAGAATAAGTGAAAATGTCTCCTTACTACACGTTGGAAACAGAAAAAAAAATTCGGTTAGTTATTGAGAGTAGAGTGTAGCCAAATGGAAAACAAAATCAAGTTTAATGGACAAAATGAATTTAATTTGCAGTTGAACAAAAGGTTTTTCATTTTATTTTTGTTTTGTGCAACTGAAAACCAAAAACGGAGTAGTGTGAGTCATGCAAGTCGTTTGTGCGTAGACAAAAAAAAATGGATGCAAACTAAGCCACCAAATTTTGTATTATAATTTTTTGTTTTGTTTTCAATGTAAATTTTAATTGAATGAATTAGCTACTTTGTCATCTTGCTTCGTCTCCACCGTCTGAATCGTCGGGCATTTTATTCAAATGGCTTGATCCAGACGTTCCCGAGCCGCTGCTCTTCGAATTTTTGGCCAATTTATTGACTTTTTTGTTTTGCTTAATTTTTCGTAGCGTTAAGTAAGTGGATCGATGACATGGACTGTTGTAAATACTTGCTTTTAATTTACTGTTAAACGTGGCATTGTCTCCTTTTGCGGACGATTTCATGCTCTGCAAATTTGGGCAACTCTGTGCACAGTTGTCCGTTGTCTGGATGTTTGTGGTGATTTTCTGTTTGCGTACAATATAGGATTCGGGGAATTTTTTGTGTTGGCTCACTTTCGGCGTTGCCAGACCGCTACACAGTTCGATGTTTGGTTCGCTCGTTGATCGTTCGGATTCAGTTAATTGAATTTTTGATGTGTGCTCGTGTTCATCAAATGTTGCTGTCACTGTCAAATTGAGCACCGAACGTGTCACTGGATCGGTGATTACATTTGAGTTCTGAACGCGACGATTCTCAGTACGCTCATCAACTGTTCCGAATTCACTCCAGATTTTCAATTGATCCAAGACTTTTTGTCGTTCACCTGCCGACAGCTTGCGATTACTATCCTCCGATAAGTTTGGAGAAGATTTTGATAGTCGATTGCATGGCATTTTCAATTGTTCAAAGTAATTTCGGAGCGCTTTGACATTGCCTGTTCCGGGGAGGGTTTTGTTCTCAAAAGACGGTAACGTACTCTGTTGCACGGGGATGTAAGCGAATTTTTCCGAATGTGTTTGGCTTGATGGTTGGTGTGTTTTTACTTTTTGATATAGTTCTTGTTCTTGTTCTTCTTCTTGTTGTTGATCTTCTTGTTGATTTTGATGTTGTTGTCGTTGTATTGATGAAATCAGTTGTTTTTGCTGAACGATTTCCGTTGCATCGGCGATAAATGCGGAATCGTATTGTGTCATTGTCGACGAATTCGTTGAGTTTGAATTTAATTCGGACAAATCTAATATAATTGCTTTTGTATCGAACATTGTTGAAGCTGAATTAATAGTCTTATTGTTCGTTAATATTTGGCCATCATTCGATTCCTCATCATAAAAATAAGCGCTAAAATTATCATTATCTACAGAAGGTATGTTCTTAAAGCTTTCAGTTCCATTATTAGGTTTAGTATTAGAATTAGAACGTTTATAGGTACAAAATTTAAAAATTGGTTCATTTGTTTTATTTATTAATCGTTCGGTTGTTGGGTCTGTTGCAGCATATGATGCACAACTTGAATTGGTCCCAGCATCTTTGCCACATTTGTTGAGCATGACATTGGTTATATGATCACATGTATTTGGTTTATTCATCATTGGTGCAAACATTGACTGCGGTGGTTGCAATTGCGATTGGGTCAACGGTGCTGGTTGTTGTTGTTGAAACGTTGGCGGTGGCAATGTTCGAATGATTTCCGCATCGACATCATCCAATTCCAGATCGAAACTGACGGTTTTTCTATTTTTCAAGTATTGGGTTATAGTGGATGGCTTAGGCATTTCTACTGTAGGTTCATTACAGGCTACACAATTGACTTCAGGTATATTATCATCACAAATTTGGTGGGCGGAAATAAAGAGATTTTCATCATCGATGAATGGAATTTCATCGCAACCGGCAAACGGTGCGACACTCTCCTCATTTAGGGGTTGATGGATTTCGGTTTGCGAAATATTTGTAGAACTATTGTTGGACTTTACCTCCGTTTTGGTGTCATCATACTCTTCGATAAAAATCGATGGATTCAAATTCCAATTTGAATTGCTTTTGTCCGACAAATTTGGACTGGTCGAACGTGTACGTTGTTGATGCATGGTTGGGCTACTCTTACGCAAAAACTCATTCATTTGCAACAATTGAAACGGTCGCAGTACATCATCTTGCAGTGATGATGAGCTACGTCGTCGGCTCATAAAATCGCGACGCACATTGTCATAAATGTTTGAGTTACTCTTGACAAAGGGCCGAGAATCACGGTATCTTGGATCGACCGGCACATGTTGATACTTCATGTTGAGTATGTCTTCGTGCGAATACGACGAATGACGGCGATAATTCATATGCGGTGAATTTTGCAAATAATCATTGGCATTGTAGCGACCAAAATTGGGCATTGGTTGAAATGTTGGCACCGTATAAGCCGAGTCTTGCTCAAAAATATTCAAACTTTCATCGGAGTCGAAGTCATAGAGTCTACTATTATTTGGCGGTCTATACTCTTCTTCCGCTTTATTATTTTCAAAGCATTAACACACAAGCAGCATAAAGGAAAGGTTAAATCAATTATAATTGTTAGTATTTGATTGCGAATTAGTAGAAAACGGTGTTAGTTGAAATAATTATATTTACTGGTCTCTACTAATTTATCGTAATATAGCGTTTCTAGCAATATTTAATTCAAACTCAAACTCTTTCGCTTAGGTTTACTCTTAGTCAATCGGTTAGTCAACGTTTTTAGTTTAAATTCTATCTCAAATTCAACTTCACACACGCGGCACACATTATCAACTAAATTCATTCGATATGATGTCATCTACTGAATGCTTACCTCTTTGTATGATTGGGCTTGGTTGCTGCAAAAGCATAGCCAAACCATGGTGAATGGCTCCTTTTTTGGCCACTTCAAGAATTACAACTGGCCCGGTGCGCACGAGATAATCGGCGGCACGTTCTTGTGTTATTCCAATCAAACTTTGACCGTCCACTTTCAAAAGTTGATCACCTGCTTCAAGGCGATCGTCAGCGTCAGCCGCTCCGCCGGGCACAACGGATTTGATATAAATTCCCAAACGTTCCTATTTTTTCAGAAAAATGTTCATTTCACACATTCATTTTAACAGTTCAATTGCCACTTTTGTATGGCATCGCAAACATACTTGACCGGCTCCTTTAGCTGCCACAATTGACAATCCCATTCCATTAGCATTTTTGTGCAGTTTTATGACCTGCACTTCGGGTTGTTGTAGTTTAGTTGACATAACACTAGATGATCGCGTTTGCTGTGAAATTATATGAAAAATGATTGTTAGATGGGCATGAACATTGAACAGTGATGCAAATTAATGGATGATGCAAGCAGAGCTTGAAAGAAATTCAAGGAATATTTACGTTGTATTGTTGCATGTATACGGTCCAAAGGCCAATACTTGTTGGTTGAGCAGCAAGTCGACACATGCCTGCCGCTTGTAATGGGCTCAAGAAATCGACTAAGCCGGCTGGAATACCGCGCACCACATCTGAACTGAATCCATCTTCAGGAATTAAAAGAGCCAGCGGTAATTCGAGCGATTCTTCGAGGAGAACCTAATTGACGAAAATTGATATTGAAGCAGTGACATTATTAATTCAAATTTAAATTGAAAATCCATAAAACAAACAAATTGAGTATGACACATACCTCTCTATCATCGCCTCGTGTGAGTTCGTCGGCAACGGACTCGGCCATTCTAATGGCTGTATCGATTAAATTTCGCGGTATTTTCTCTTGCGATAGCAAAGCTGCCATTTGTAATGAGTTCAAACGGAAACAAGAGCATGCCAATTTTTGTACATCTTCTTCGCTAGTTTTGGTGGCCTTACAGAAAACGAAAAATTAACGGATAAAATGGATAAAATTTCATTCACTTTCAATTATGAATTTGGTTCACATAGCACCAGAGTTACTATTCATTTTCAATTAATTCGACCTTAATTACCTGTAAGAAATCGGCACATTGATTAATTTTGGCTAAATGGCACTCGGCTGCTAGTTCCAATCCTTGTTTGTGAGCCCATGATTCGAGTATATCGAGACGTTCTCTGATCACTTTTCCCCAGGTTTCAATACACATTTGTTGATTTGTCACAACCTAAATATAACAACAAAGCAATTATTTCATCATATCCAATAACAAATTTCCACACCACGCGACTTACTGTATTGAAACAAATCGCATTGATGTAGTGGAATAGCTGCGAAAATAGTTGAATGGTCAATGCGGCATTGACGCGACTGCGACGCAAAAGTGCCATGGCTGAGCTGAGAACGGTCAACACCAGTCCGGCAGCTGATTCATGGTCGATATTTTCCGAGAGGAATTGATTCAACGTCTGTGACAATTCAATGCGAAAGCAATTCACTAAATTGTTGAATGCAATTTGAACGCTTTCCGTTAGCACTTCTTGCGCTTGAACACTGAATGCAGAAATGTGTCGATCCCATTTAAGAAAATTATAAAATTCCGAACTGTTGGCCATCCAGAAGGAAAGAACGCGTGGATCTTGATTGCGTTCTTGTACCACACCCGATATGAGATTGGCCACATGATGCAAAAATACGGTCAGTTTATGTGCACGTTCCGTTGGCTGCAAGTCCGGTCGGTAGTGCGTTGACGCACGATATCTGAACAACAGAAAAAAAAATGTAAAAATATACCATATTAATTGCTCCAATCGACGGAAAATAAAAATGAGGAGAAAGCGTGTAACAACAATGATTATTTACCTTGCGCATAGATAGAGCGTGTAGACCGGTGCCAGTTTAAAATTTGGCATATTCACATCCAAATCGACGATAATTTGATGAAGAAACGATTCCTGATGTGTTTCGGGAAACTCTAGAACGGCCGGTAAAATCGCCTCTTGACCAGCCCCACTCATTTCCATAGCTGCTTTCTTGGATCTGTGACGAAAATAAAATGACAGCATGTTGTTTATTGGCCGTTCAAATTCGATTACCATCAAATATTATACTAAACAAATGTATCACATTGATGAGCACTTGCATTATCATTGTTGGCATCTATTTATAGTCTGACGTTCATGTCTAACATTGTTTACCTCTCATTTAATTATATGCATACTTACTATATACACATCGCGCACGCGCGCTCGCGTTTAAGCTACCTTTGAAGTATTATCGTATCGTATACAATAACAGTGGCAAAATAATTTTGCAAATAATATGTGACACAAAGGCTCAGGTTAATATGGTATATTGCAAAATGTGAATATATAAATGAAAAAATTAAAATCATGTGCCAACGGAAACTAGTGGTGCATTGAAACGTAGTGCGTTTCATTAAAATTACATTCTCCTGTAATTTTGAAGCTAAATCAAATTGATTCGATTAATGATGGCGACAGCGTTTCTCACAACATAAAAACGTTACGATAACATTCACATGAACAAATTTTTATTATTGATTGGGCAATTTGCATTTTGACGCATTCATTCGGGCATGTCCAGGAATGAGACACAAACGGAATAAAGCAAATAAAGAAAAAAATAGAAATAAAAGCCGAACAAAACTCAAATGATAACACAACTCAAAAGAAATATGAATAAATGCAAAACAAAAGAAATAAAATGAATAAATAATACCTCAAATCTGGATTCGATCCGTTCGATTTAACGCTTGACAGTGATTTTGTTTCAGTTTCTGATTTGTTATCCGGATCATAATCGTTCATTGGCATCGATAATTGTTGCGATTGTTCTTTTCCCAGTTCTTGTGATTTTTGTAAATCATCGGTGGCCATTGCTGCTAGCGCTCTTGCCGTTGAAACGGATTTATTTGGATCGTCGGACGATTCTATTTCGTTGTAATGTGTCGGATCAATGATCGATTCAAAAAATAAATTAATCAAACAATAAAAACGGGGAAAAAAGGAAAATTATGATTCACAATTGATACGGCTCAAATTTATCATTGGCCATTTAAAAAAATCACAGCCCTTGTCACAGACAAAACGGAGAAAAACAAAAACCTCAATCCAAAACAGAAGTAATGTAATTTTGCGGCTTTTGTTTGCAAACGGTAAATTTTCAAACGTGCTTCATTAATTGCTGCAATTCAAAGCATACAAAATCACTGTGTTTGTCTGTTTTGTTCTGCTGGCATACTAATAATTTTGAATCGATCATTGATAGGGTCAATCTTTGTCGCATTGCGAATTGACTGCGATGCAGTTAATTTGAAATGTGAGCATAAGGTCTGATTTCTGTATATGTGTGTGTAAATATGAATGGTGTGCGTGTTTTGTTACCTTTTCCAATAGTCGAGGGTTCATCGTCGTGCCACGATGGGGATGTTGGTGAGCGACTTTTTGTTTGATGTAATTTTTTTTTTATTTGATTAGTGCGAATGGCAAATGGCGGAGAGCGTCCGGTGCGGATGATTTTTTTTTGGTTTGGTTTTTCATTATTGTTGTGGTTGTTGAAGTTTCGATGCAAACGTTTGGTTGTTACAATATACATGTGTGTTTTTTTTTGGTCGTATTGTTTATGTGGATTAAAAAAAACATTCACACACAAAACAACATTGAACATAACAAGCGTGAAATAACATGAAAAGAACAAACAGAAAAGAAAAAGAAACGATGAAAAACGAAAACGGAAAATAAAATAACATATAACGGTGATGAACAAATAATAAAACAAATAGCGATCCACAAATGAGTATATCGAGGATTCAATGGGTTGTTCACAACATTGCACGTCGATAGCGCGCATTCGGTAACTATCATACGAACATATGTGCACTACTTTTGTCTATCTCGTGCTCTTTCTATTTAAAACCTATTCCAACTAATTCTATGCTCAGGTTCTAATTCATAACGCATTATTGTACTCGGTTTGTAATATCAACTGCTCATTGTGTCCTACGTATGAGCACATTGCTCTATTTAATCATGATACGTATTGTATGTATGTTCGACGTATGACCTGAAACATTTGTTTGCAATGGAGAAAAACTGACATCCATTAAATATACATGTAGCCAGAGTACGTTATGTCTCACAACACTTTATTTATTTGATTGGACAAATGCTATTTATGTGTAACGATCGATTTGATATTTTATCTATTTATTTCGTTAGTTCCCTTCCGCGATACTCATTTTTAGCACTACATGGAATATAGGCTACTGTAGTTGTTTTTTTTTTTTGCCCCAAGAAAATTTTAAGAGTCTTTAGGCCATTTTTTTGGACCGTAAACTAATTCATTTTAATATCCATATTTTTTATTTCAAATGAAGCAATTACGTTTAATTGTAAAAATGGAATAATATCATGTTCATGTAATTCAATTTTGAGATAACTCAAAAAAAAATTTGACACTTTTTTCGTTGCCAATGTGAAATAATGTACGATGACCATTCACATTGAATGTACATAAAACACATAAGTGAAGAATACAATATTATCATATGAATTTATTTAATTATTTTTGACAATATTAAAATGATATGCATACTACGATTAAAACTACATTCCATGTAGTGCTTACGATAATAATTTGATGACAAACATCAAATTAATTAAACCCCTTAAATTTACAAGCTTCAAGAACGCAGAGCGGAGCGAAGCGACGATTGTTTTTCTATCTGAGTTATTGGGTGTTGCGTTTTCGTCTATGCTCAACAAAGTTTGTTTCATTCCCATTTCAATTCCTTTGAGTAATCGAAATGGAAGAGCCAATAAATATATATAAACACCACACACATTTCGAAATACCAAGCGCGCGCGCTCTTTCTCTGGCTAAGGATAAATGTGGAATAAATTGGAACATCCAATCGGTACGCCACAAATGAATCCGTAGCCAAAAAAGAGCTAACAAAAATCGATACAACGGATTTTTCTATTTCAATTTCAGTTTAGTCAATCCAAAAATAGCAAAAATTTCTGACTATTTGAAGCATTGAAATTTCGTTGTATCGTACCAATATTCCCAAATGCCTTGAAACTTTTCACATCCTATTGAATTAATGTACTAAGCGTATTCGTGTGTCTGTAATAAATCAGCTTAAAAATCTAGGATTCCGTACAAATATATGCCGAAAATTGGCTTTAATCAAGTAGCTTAAAAAACGTGAAAAAGCTCAAACACTAAAATAAACAACTCACATTTTCCAACTTGAGCAGAATATACAAAAACAAACTTTGTTGTTTTTCTTCAAAACTACCATTTGAATTACCATAGCTATTCGTAATTTTACCTGTAGTTTACCGTGATTTATTCGGGCACATTTACTTGTGCCAACACAAGAGTTGGAGGAAGTTTTACATAAACATTTTTGTATGAGCATAGAATAAATTAGCGTCAATGCTTACCTTTCGTACAGGCATGCTGAATCCAGTTGAGATTGTGATAATACCAAATTGTACCGCCCATCCGATGGTGAATCGACGAATTTGTAGGAAGCCACCCGGCCGAACATAACAACCGATCCATTCTGCATAATAATGAAGAGGGAAAAAAATGATGAAAAATTATCTCATTTAAAACAGAAAAACAACAGAGAAAAATAAATTAAAACACAAAAACTATATGCGGGTGCAGAGCGACCAAAGTGAAATTAAATAATTCGCATACATTCGGGGAAAAAAGAAGATAATTATTTAGATCTTGTATAAGTGTGTGCGTGTGTGACGCAACTCCACAGTCCAAGTGTACATTAGCAATCACGCCAGAAGTAAATGAAGGTGACGGAAAAAAAATTGGAACACAAGAAGAATACGGACATTATGAAAAATGAATGCAAACCCGAATGGGCACGTCTTGAATATCATTGAAAAGTCATTAATTTTGCAAGAGTGATATAATCAAAAAACATTAAGCTGTGGTGTCCTTTTTCCCCGCACATAATCCCACACCATGCTTTGTCGCTCATTGCATTTTGTGCGAACAAGAGTGAGCGAGTGAGATGAGAATGTGTAGAACAAATGAGCTCTCTTGCCATTGTAGATACTTGCCCTTTTGCGAATTTTTTTTCGAAAATGTGGGCTGCATTCAGAGCTCGGAACAAGTATTGTTTAATTGCTCAATTTATCAAATCGACTTCTATTGTGAGTGAGATTCGTTTATTAAACGATTTAAATGAATGCCATCCAAGCGCACTGGATGTCAAGCCAACGTTGTGATTTTAAGATAGAAAAGTTCGAGTGTGTGCTATGTTTCAGGCCAGAGATGAATAATTAAATTATGGAAACTTCTCTTGCTAACGCTATGGCACCAGAGCAGAGCACCTTCAATTAATAGCAATTTGAAAGCGCATTTCAAAGTTGAACAACTGCATGAACTAATTTCACTCATTTCTTGCGGCCACCCAGCCATAGCAGCAACAACAACAGCAGTAGCCGTAACCGTATATACATCAAGAGGATGTTATCCTATGAAAAGTGCTTCGTCAAAATGTTGCGTGAACGATGTGAACATGAACGTGAATTGTGTAGAAAGCGAAAGAACGACGTCTCCTGGGGCTGGATGATTCAAACCGGAAATTTTTCAAAATCAACGTAATTCATATGATTTTCTCCGACGATACGGAAATCTTCGAAAGCAAAAGATTAGAAAATTTCTTTTGCCAAAGAACAGATTTAACAAAGCAACAACTCCGATCCATCTATTATATCCGTAAAAATCGAGGGCAAATGTATTTATTTTCCACAGCAAAGCACACTTTCAACATTACTTTCGATTGCTTGACTCTTTTTCTTTTGAACAGTTCAAACGGAAACGGAAAATTATACCGAACAACACCAGGCCATTATTCGATGTGATGCGATGTAAGTAACATTGCCCACCTCTTCGCCACCAGTACGCCGGAAAAAAGGCATCGAGAAAATTAGTGAACCGTGTTTATCTAAGTATTTTATAGAGTTGTACTTGAATGATTCGGATTGATGACATTGAGGTACTTTACACGGATGCTCTCGATCGACAACGAGCAACGACAATGAAAAAGTTTCAATGGTCAATTAGTTTCCGTGTGAATGTTTGATGAATCGAAATAACTTGCTGATGAATCATTTTCTATTAGTTTGCCTCCCAACTGGGTGGCATCCAATTCTCAACGGAAGGTGGAAGATGGCAGGGGTGATGGTAATGACGCAACACCAAAATGCAAAGTTATAAAGTTGAAAAATGAGCAGAAAAGTAACAATCGTGCCGTTCCGTGCGCTACCTCCACAACACATAAATAGATCAACATATAAAATGTTATGGCGCCGTTTAGATTTTTCATTTCTGTTAGGGTGCAAATGAATGCATTAATATTTCGCACAAATACGTAAATGGCAGACGGAAGTGAAAGAATGCCCACTCAAAGCAAATGGCTATGCGGTGAAATACGTCGAGAAATATTTGTCGATCAAATCGACTGTGAAAACACTCATGTGATAAGGATGCATATAAAAAAAATGGCGAAGCTTTGCTTCACCTCACTTTTGCCTTGCCGTGATGATGGGTGCTGAGTCGATGCTTGTTCTGACCATCTCACACACACTCGATGGCCTGTCGGAACATTAAGAGGTGAACAAATGTTTCTGTTCATAATGCAGAAGTATATTTATTGGTTTGGCACCATTTGCTTCCACTTAGATTAGCACATACACCAATAACAACGAGTAGAAAGGGAGAAAAAGAAAACAATACCAGAAGAGTGCGTTTTGAAACATTTTTAATGTCAAACAACTGTCAAGCCATTCCATCAATCAACGTTGGAAGAGAGGAAAGGAAGGAGAGAGAGAGAGAGAACCACAGTCGTGATTGCTGCAAAAACAATTATAATTAATGATGAGCAACTCGTCGTTTGCGTCAGAAAAATTCATTGGCTGATGATTTTGACTAAGGGTGCAATAATTAAGAAAACTTGCAATTTTGGTTCAGCTGCAGCACAAAAAAAATTATCATTGCATTGTTGAATTATGTTTTTGATTGAATTTTGGAATTCAGTACTTCTATGAATGATGCAAAATGACAAAGTTCTGTGTATCAATTACTAACGGAAGACACAATTACATCGGCAGCAACATTGTGCAACATCGGATAATGTCAACTTCAATCAGATTCCGGATGATATGATCTGATTCAGCAAAAACGGGCGACCGTGACAATGGGATTTTGACTGACATCTACTCCGGCTCATCCGAATCAAGCTTATACAATAAGTGTCAAAAGCGCTTTGCTTTGTCAAAGAAATTTCACAGCTGCATGCATTGCTGATGAATGAAACGAAAGTAAGCAGTCGACGGAGAAATTTCGATGAAAGTTCACGGTTGATATCGGGCTTCAACTCGCATTTTTTCATAGGTATCCGACGTGAAGGGATGCCTTTTTTAAGATTCTTGAGAGAAAATAAACGACGCACGCTTGTGTATGTTTGTGTGAGTGTAAAATTGGTGCGTCATTCGATAAAAAAAAAAATCGAATAGAAACACCATGCTAAAGCTTTAAACTGATGCAAATGAACAAGAGCATAAAGTGGCGTTGGTGTATTTTTTTTATCATTGAAGCATATCTCATCGCATTTCGTTTTATTGTATGGGCGCATAAATCCGAAAATCATCGAAATAACAGATATAAAAAATGCGGATTAAATGTTTGCTGATTGTTTTGTTGTTGCTTCTTGAGAGTTCTTTTTCTTGAGAAAACCGCCTTATTTGTTGATCAGATTTTAGATCGTGATGAATTTTTAAACGTCAAGGTCAACCAATGTAATTTTCCATTTTCTTTTTTATTTCTTCTTTTGTCTATTCCATGTCTACCAAAATATCTGGTTAGCACCCCGACCAACAACATTTCGTGAGCATTTCCAAGATTTGAAAAAGATTACCGCGCAAGCGAAATGTCGACAGCCCAACTAAACGAAAAGAATGTTTCAAGAATGAAAACGAAAACACGAGAGAAAAAAAAAGAAGAAACAGTACATATACGCCTACATTACCGGTGACGTCAATCAAATGTTCATCCGCAACGAAGGCAATGAAAGCAACGGTAATAAAAAGGATTCTACTCGTATGCTTTACATTGCTGCTAGTTGTCCATTTGATATCGTCTCCCTATCTCTCAACAAATGTGAAACAAAGCATCGATATGAATGATTCAATGCCATATTCATTATTTTTTCATTCGTTTTTTTTTTCCGTTTGAAATTTTATACATGGCAACATAAACCGAAAACCGAAAAAAACCCAAAACATATGCTATTATTCTCATCTTTATCGAAATCATGAGCTCCACTCGTAACACACATGATAATTTTCTATTCATTCCGAAGAAACAAAGTGCAAGATTGGCTGGGAACGATGCAAACTGTGCCCAATGGCAATACAATGATAATAGCTTACGTGTAAAATGGTCGGTTGTTGGATGTGATGGCCGTTAACAAATGTTAACGCGTCGGCATGAAGTGGTGTAACGGTGCAAACACCTTCTAGCAACGAAATCAAACAATGTCTCGGCTGAATCGATGGTCCAAATAATTGCAACTGGTTTGTGTTTGCCGAGCCAACCTGGTAATCAAACAAATATAGAATTGATATGATAAGTTTGTATAAGAATTGTTTGTTCCATTTTTTCATTCATTCCGCCGCGGCGGCAGCATATTGTTCAGATGTATTAGAAGAAATGAAGAAAAAAAAACATGTGTGTAAATATATGGATGCGACACTTACTTCAATCGGTTCGGCGGTGAGTTTGACATGACGGCCACCTTCACCGCTGTGAGTTATTTCCACTAGAACGGGCCCTTCTCGGTCCGGCGTTATATGATTGCCACCATTCGACACGCCAAGCGGTTTTTTCTTCCGTCGTCGTGGCTGTGAATCAGCTGGTCGGCGTCGCACATGAAACATGATGGACCCTGATAATTGATAATGAAATCGAGCAAGTTATTAAAATTGAAATTGAAATCTTAACTTAATTTCGAAATGCTATACATAAAAAATAAGGCGAGCTTAGTTTGGCTCATAAAATATCGAAGCATGTAATTTGGTTTATTTATTTATTTTTGTTGTTGTCATGTTCGTTGTATCACGATAAGGAGCGTGACAGACGATACACAGCCGTGCATGCCGACAGTCGACCATTGTTCGCGTAAATAATTTATTCTGAAATCGACAAATGTAACGAAATATTGGAAAAATCAATGCGGCCAATACGGTATCAGAGTAACAGCAGCCACAGCGACGGCACAATGTACAGCACTGTGTGTATCAGATTCGGTTCGGTTCTGATGACAAAATTAATATCGAATACTCTCATTTTCGAATCGATATTTTTGCCATTCATTATTTATAAAATCGAATTTTAACAGAGAAAATCACTCAATGGCGATGATGGTTTGGCGAACGTACGATCGTTTTCAGTTCCTGTTTTTTTCAGCTTAATTAAATTGCGCCAATGTTATGCAATGGAAAATTCAACATCGATTGAAATTTCATTTATTTCCAGAATGTAGGTTTATTATGGCCACCCCCGACGGAACTACCGTTTAACAATCGAGATTTTCTCGTGATAACAGCAAATTTGTGCCGAAACAACAATATCACGTACAGTGTGTGTGTTCGTATATTGCTGAGGAAATCACAGCTTCTATTCAGCTGCAGAAATTCGTAAAATGCTTTTAACGAACGAGCACACATTTAGCAAGTGTTTTGTTAGCTCGCACATAATATTTTCAGATTTGGTTGCTGTCGTCGTCGTCGTCGTCATTTTTATTATTATTACTGAGAAGGGCCTTACCCTGTGTCATGAAATGAACAATAGGAAACCGTTTTTTTGTGTGCTGCCAAAAATTCCGCCCGTTTTTCAATCGGGCGAATGAAAAGAAAATCAATCTCATTGTGTATGACGATGCAAAGCACGCTCAATAACAAAAACCACATAAAAAACGGATTGTCAATAAAAATGAAAGCCTAAAAGTGTCAGAATTAATTATTATTATTATTATCAGCAATTCAAAGGACATTATCAAACGAGAGGCGAACGATAAACTAATGCACACACGCTGGTCCTATTTTAATCGGTTTTTATATTTGGCCGTCATTATTTTATGACAAAAAATCGGGGGCCATATATGTACAACCACACACACTCATACACTCATACACTTATACACACACAATCGACAACGTTTATTATTATAATTTTTGGTTCCGCTGCTGCTATTCGTTGTACCCAGAAAAAAAGAAATATTTCAACTTGACAAAATCACAAATTACATCAAAACGATTGCAAAAGGATAATTGTATCTTGACCCCAAAAAAATGCGATGTCGACGGTGCTCGAATTACCATCACCTTGGCTCACGTTCAATGCGACACTGTCTCTGACTCTGTTTGTCTAACATATCCTTTTCGAAAAGTTCAGTTTTATTTCATTGAGAATGCTTCATATTTATGGCAAAATATGTAATTTGATGAATGATGATTAATAAAATGTAATTGTGTGCAGTGTGCACGATACACAGAAAGAGACGGAGAGACAGTGAAACGGAGGGCCACAATGTTGTGGTTGGAAAAAAGTAAGCAGTAAATTTTTTTCTATCATTCCATTTCATCGAATGGGTTGCGTGGCCCGATGATTTAACTTAGTTTCGCTGTTGTGCTTGTCTTGTACCTCTTTGTACACTGTTCCATCGATATTCATCAGTTTTCCATGAACAACCGCACACGGCTCAACATTATTGCTCTTTTATTACATAGTATACAATAATTATGAGAATGGGGAAAAAAAACAAGAAAGAAATTGGAATAAAAGCATTGGAATGGAATTGAAAATACAGCAGTTTCGGAGTGACGGGTGCGTGTGACTGTAGTAACTGTCGCATTTGGTCAGTATTATTTTGCCTAATGGCTATGGCATTGAGCTCTGGCCTTTTAACGTTTATGGGCGATGAAATTTAAAGCTGCTTATACACCCCGAAAAATCGAGACAAATTAAGTGACTTTTGTAGTGCTGTTGATGTTAATCACAATACAAACACACGGACATTGTCTTTTTTCGACACATTTTCCTAACCATTATTTTTTTTTATTATTTAATGGAATTCTAACCGAACTGCGGCGGTACTGAATGTTGCAGTTTTTCCTTTCCTATCTTACTCGCCCTCCCGCTCTGTTTCTCCGAACGGCCAAAACGAAACGAAACGCAATTCAAACCGAACTGACGATTAACAATTTGCAATACACACTCACTCCAGCATCAACTGTGAACACAAAAACATAATACCTTCGTATTAAATACCACCGATGAGAGAAAGGAAACAAAAAAATAAATTACACTTTTCTATTCATCGTGTTTATCGCCATAAATGCGGCAATTTACTATTTTCTGGCACAAATTTCATATTTTAGCTCCACTGTGTGTATAGTATTGTCGTTGTTGCGAGAGAAAAAATGCCACTAATATTTATCACATTATTAGGGTACGGTAGTGCCATTATACTCTTGACTGAAGAACAAAAAAAAAAGAGTCTATACTGTGTGTGTGTGTATATATATATACAAAAGGCAGCCAAAACACAATGAAAAATGGAAAAATAGCTAGAATTAAATTACTTACGACGAATGCCCCAGTCCATCATGGTTGCGAATTTTCTATTTGACGGTTTTCATTCACAAAACAATGGCAAAAAACACGGCAAAACACTAAATTTGCCGTGTGTGTGTGTGTGTGTGTTTGTTGTGTTTCAAATTGTGGTGAGCAGGCCAACACAACGCAATACGTTTTGTTGTGGGAATCAAAACGAACAACTGAACTCAACCGAACACAACACACTTCGAATGAACACCGAAACACACTGCTTGCACTTAAAACACATGCATATAGAGTCAGCTGGGATTCGCCGAGCGATTGAAAGAACTATGCAAGCTCTAATTGGTGGAAGCTCATCGCGCGCGCCTTTATCATTTAACACGCTCGTTTTGCTTGTGTATACAAATATATTTTTATTATTTTTTCTGTTGTTGTTGCTGTTGTTTTATTTTGATTGCAATTAAATTAAGCTGTTGCTGTTATTGTTGGTGCTGCTGTTGCTATTTTTGCTTTCAATAGTTGAGCTACGTCCATTTTAGTGCCCATTTTATTACCATGAGCTGTGAGATAGAGAGCATATTACTGCTGAAAATGCGCCAATCGATAAAAAGCTTTTGCATTCATACTTTATCTAAAAGTTCCACCATTTTTTTTTCGTTCAGCCCTGTTTCGTTTTGTTTGATTCGTTCTCTATTCTTTGGTGACTGTGCCTATTGTTCGGGCCTTTGTCACAAAACGACCGCGTATTAATTTTATCAACTCTCTATCTGCCTGCCTGCCTGCTTGACTCACTCACGTAGACACTCTGTTTTCGCCTTCCTCTTTTGTTTTATCCACTATCTCAATATTTTGTTTTTATCTTGATGTTTCTCTATTCGCTTGCAGATCCGTACTATTCCGAATCAATTGAAGATGGAAGCGAATGATATGAGCTCAGCAGAAATACACAAATTAAAATCGAAAGAGACGGAGCTGTGGTGAACATGGCAGTAGCAAATGAAAATATTCAAATGCTACGAACAACACACACACACACGCGTCGACACAGCAATCAAGCGCAATCGGTAAACAAAACACACAGCTCACAGCGTTCAGTTCTCATTAAAGATTGGTGACTTTTTTACAATGAAACACAAACAATCACTTTGAATGAATTTCAATGCGATGATGATGATGATACGTAGAAACGCTGTCGATGAGAAAATTTGAGATGAGGCGCGAGTGTCAATGTAAACATCACTAGCGAAAATCACTTGTGTGCTGCTGTTGATAATTTTGCGATTGACTTTGCTGGGGTTTCTAATATAGTTTCAAACTTGTTTCAATCATCTTTAACTATCAACTAAAACTGCTATCATCAGGAAAAGTCGTTCAGCCACACACATTCGGCACACGACGTCCTTGTACTTTTCGTTGTGTATGATGATGATACGTGGAAACACAGCACAGTAAATTGTCTTTCAACGTCGATTTTGTTGTGTATTTATTTATTTTTTTTATCACAACGACGATGACTTCGACGGCGACGAGAAGAAGGAACAAAAATTTGAAGCAAAACGAATAGTGATATGGAAACTGAACCGAAATGACGATAAGCAAACCAAAAAAGCTGACTTGGTTGGTCGGTCGATCGGTTCGGCATGAAAGATTCACACATACTGAATTCCACACTGTATGATGGCACGCGTAAATGTGTGAGCGTATACTCTGAATTTGTATTGCATTCGTAAAATGTAAATGGCATAGTTCAGGATCTATATTATACATACAGCGGCGACAACGACGACGACGACGACGACGACGGTGACGACGTCGATGTAAGCACAGTGTTCAACATGGAAATTCGATAAGAAAATTTCGTTCGTATCATGCTCTCCACTTTGCTTAAGTATAGGTGGCCCGAATGAACGTTCGATTGCCAACAATAAATAAGCCCGAATTGTTCCTTCTACATTATCACCACATGCAGACACACCGATATTGGCCCATTCTCCTCATTTTTCTCTCGCTCTTTCGCCTACTGTCAAATGCTCACGCATACTGGCAAACATCGAACACCATCTCACAAAACACAACGCGTTCAGACATAGGAATTGAAGCAGTACCACTCTTGTGTGACAATCTCTGTCGCGTGTCTTGGATCTTATCAGAACAACTTGTGCTTCTATCAGACTCATTTACATTGCTTCATCCATCGTACATTGAACGGCAATTCCTCCAAGAGATGGCACCATTGGATTGAGACGGAATGCCTCGATGCACCGACACAACACTCAATTTGTCAATATCTCTCATAGCGACAGAATCTTTTTATATACACACTACATGGATTGGTACAGAGAGCACCAATACCGTTCGATTCGCCACAATAACAACAGAACGTGTAACGTACACTGTGTGTATAAGTACGAATATGCGCAAACCGTTCTGTCAACGGTTGGTGTCATTTCTCCGTTTTTGTTTCGTTTTTCTGTTTTGCTTCTCAGTTCCTCGCCCGAGAAAGCACACTGTCACTTTGATAAATGCCTGAAGTAGTGTAAAAGTGCAGTCGGTTGCTAGACAAGCACCCGAAAGCTCAGACCAATTTAAAGTAAATTGAAGCGCAGCACATTTGAGAATGGCTACTGTTTGCTTATCAGATAAAAACTAATTCGATTTATATGTTCGATTCATATAACATACCTCTGGATGTGGGATGATTCATTAGAATGGAAAGTGGGCATTCGTCGTCGTCTAGAATGTATTCGGTTCCATCGCTGTTGACTTGTACAAGACAATAGTGCAGTGGATCGGCTTTGTCCAAGCCATATTTTGATAGCATCTCTCTGACAACGGCTTGGGCACAGTCTCGTATTGACAGCAACAATGTTTTGTAAGGCACATCGCGGCACAAACTCTCTCCGTAAATCTTCAGTGTTCCGCCTGACCAAGAAACAAAATCGAAACGTTAATTTTGAGCGATTTTCATCGTTGATTTTCGAAATGTGTACAAAAACAACTTGGAAAGTCACAACAATGTGACCGAAACAAAATAAACAAGCAAATAGAAGAGTGACATCGTCAACTCACCTGTATCAGGTCCACCGTCTTTCGATCGGAACTGTTGTAATTTCTTTTCAAGTATTTGTTGGCGTCGTCTTCGCATCACCGCCTCAGGGTTCGATATTGATCGGGTGAACGATGTTTCAGGCAATTCAGTGTACAATTTCTCGGCCACATGATTATTTTCGGCGCTACCACTGCCTGGATTTGAATTCATTTTAGCTAATTTCTCTTTTTTCTTCTGTTCCTTTTTTTCTCGCTTCGATAGTTTTCGTTTGAAGTTTAAATCGGTGCTATCGACAATGGATGCTCCCTTTTGATCGGTGTTTCGCAGTAAAAAACGACCTTCACGGTCGTCAATGTGCCAATTTAATTGTACCAGTAACGGTTTTTCATCAGCATTCAATTTACGCTCTTCACCATTCGAATGCACCTCGTACAGTGCATAACTTGGCACCGACAACATTCGCATATCCGGCCGAAATTTTTCGATGAGTGTCTCTGCAACAAAGAAAAAAATACGAAACGGACAAACACCGATGGTTAAAATCAATCGATGGTTTTTGTAAATTCGATTCGATTTGGTTTTAATTAAATTTTCCATTTATACATACCGATTACATCCGTAACAGTTGCATCGGATGCAACTCTAATGCACTTTGTCGCCACTTTTTGACCACGATCTTGGAAATAAAATCGCATCACACCATGGAATTGTAAATTCTATCGATTCGGAAGCAAGAGAGAGAGAGAGAGAGAGATCAACATGAATTTTATTAAAATTTATTCCGATTCGAATAAGGTCGATTGTTATGGTTTTACCTCATCTGGTTCCGATAATTCGAATAGGTCCAAACGATTTGCATTCCATTGCTGTATGACTGAGCGCAGAGCTTCACGCTCAGCCACTCGTTTTTCGGTTGATGTCATTGTGCGAAGTCGCCAATCTCTGAAACGAGCGAAGAAGAGAAACATAAATAAATAACCACGAATGAAAATGAAAAAAAAATAATAAAAATAAAAAATTGATCGGTTAAACTGGAAACATGGAAAACATTGAATCGATCTGAATGAATTTAAATGTATGAATAATTTTTTGTCTCGGTTATCGGTTGAAAAGCCAGGAAATGTTGAAAATTAAGTGGTTTTGAATTTATTCTGATTGTTTGTTTATTTTGTGATATGTTTTGTAACACAAGCCCAAACGGAACCGTAAAACATCAAACCTTTTGAATTCCATCACCTGAACCTCTAATCTTATCAGAAAATGCGTTGTTTAAATCAGATCTAAGCCCGTAATATCTTTAATCTATCTATTTGAGAGCGTAAGCATTGGAATGCTCATGATGTACAAACGCCGATACACACACACACACACACACACAAACAGACGCACACACGCACCCAATAACGATTGATAACATTTGCATCATCAAAACACGGTCAAATTGTTCAAGCTACAGCTAAAAACTTTAAATTGCTCAGCGCCGACCGAATGAAATTTTCACTAGAATGAATCGACAATTAAATTAGGTTATTCAAATCGAAGAATGCATATTGTTAATCGTCGAAATGTGTCGACAACAATTACTAGATAGAGAGTTCACTTGACTGTGGCTTTTGAGAAGCACTTTTGACTATATTTGATTCTCGTTTTCACATTGTGTGCATTTTTATCGACCCAAAACTTCTTTTTTTTTTCTAAAACCACACAAACACAGAGAGGAGAAGAAGAAGAAGAAAAAAATAAACAGCACAACAAAAGCGAACTACAATTCAAGAAATGGCGTCGTCCATGCACGTGTACATTTCCAATTCTACAATTTCGTAGCAAGTTTCGTAGATTTCGAGTTTTGTGTTTGCTTTTTGTAATGAGTATGTCTTCAGCGATACACACATGCTCACAAACTAGGTTTTGTATCGGTCGTTTTGTTTATGAGAACGTTGATAAAGCCATACAACGGCCAATTTCATGCTCGTTGTTGCCATACGTACATAAATTGAAGAAAGTCTTGTGACAACGGCACCAGCCAGCAAAATGAACGACGACGACGACGACGTCAAAAGAGAAAGAGTGTGAGAGAACGAGAAACAGTAAAATAGTGAAAAAAAGAGCCATGTTTATATACGCGTATTCAATATGTTTTGTCTTAATTACACACATTTTACATAAACAGTATTTCAAGTGTATTGTGCATTTAAATTCAGAACCGGCGTCGTCGATCAAGAATGTAACAAATTGTTACGTTTAGACATTTTTTTTGTAACTCTCTATCGGCATATTCAAAACACGCCTCACAAGAATCCAGAATGAAGTGTTGTTGTTCAACATTGCCATATATACTGCAAATGACCGGCTATTTGGAACGCCCGATAATGTGAACAAAAAATAAACATTCCGTAAATCCGCTGTAAATCTTCTGTCGCTTCCTCACTCGATTTAATCGAAATGTTTACGAAATGTGATTATTATAATTCTGAATGTTTTGGAAAAGGTTTTTTTTTCGTTGCCGTTGCTGAATGTATTATTTAGTAATTTTATCAGCTATGAGTTATAATTGATTCATCTGCATTTCATGTCAATGGCTTTGAAAAATTTATTATTCAATTCTCACCGCTCCTCACTCGAATGGAATGATAATATTTTGAAAACGCCCCTTGGATTCGTGAGCATTCTCTCAAAATCTAGCATCGGTTCGAATTGAATGACAAACAAACAAACAAACAAACAAACAAACAAACGAATGAACGAACACAAAAAAAAACTCTACCTGAAAGCCCTTGATTTTGCCATTTCAAATGGTCGAATTAAAGGATTAAATGAAAATTATAGACGACGAAATTATTAATACAAAAATTGAATTTCTCATATTGAATGGGATAATCTTGATTCCGTCATTGGCACACAAACACAAACAACTGACATTCACCTAATACACAGCACCTATGCTACGAAATTGATTTTCTCGAAATGAAACCCTTTACGTCAATTGAATTTCAAAGATTTTACACGAATAATAGCATTGTTTGCTGAAGTGTAACACATATAGCTTCTAACTAAATAAAGAAGAATGTCGTATAGAATTTTTATTGTCGAAGAAATGGACATTGTTTTCTGCGTTGCAACTGTTTCATAGAATGTAATTGTTGTGCTGTTGTTGTTCGATGAATTTTAAATGTATTTTATTTTTCGATTTAAGATGATAAAATGTACACTTTCAAAGCACGACACACCTTAAAAGGTCTCGAATTCTCATATTGGCAGATGAGGTATTCGTTCGATGAATACCCGAACAAATTGAACACATTTTGTTTGGAAGATAATTGGATATATAGTTTTCGGTTGGTATTCGTCACTGATAGCGCCAAGTTGAAGTTTTCGACATTTTTGGCTCAAATTACGGATTCCACCGATGCAACGAATTTTCAACTGCACACAAGTTCCCCACTAGAAATACACTGAGTAGAGACTGATTGAGCAACAGCAGTAGCAGAGTTAGACAGGAAAAGTGTCGAGAATCGATTGAAAAATCGCAAGTAACTGAACGGCATACAAACAGGAATACGAATAAAAACG